CTGCAAAATCTATAAGAAAACAAAAAGACAAATAATTTAGAAGGCAATAGATTTTGACATTTCTCCTCGTAGCATTATTAGTTGAAGGTCTTAACTAAAAAATTATTTTAAATTCTCTAAAAATACTTGTGAAAGATGTGTTGAAGAGGTTCAAAACAGCATGATAATAATTTTTATATATGATAGCATAGCCTGGTTCCACTTTGTGCCTTTTTCAATTTATTCTCTTACCGTCATGGCTGAAAGCTGTGAAAGCATTTTGAGCACAAAGCCACTGATGTATTCATGAGAATACCTGTCTGATACACAGTTAGCAACTCCTCTTTTAGCAGTTTGGGAAGATTCAGTAGTTGCAGTCAACAATTTAGCACTTGTGCTATAGTAAATAGACCCAAGTATATACTAGGAAAAGCCCTTTTACTATTACTTGCTCCCAGATACCTGAGTGAAGATAGACTAGCAAGGGAAATTTTTGGTTCATTTGACAGTGCTCAAAACACAATATACAAAGTGATAAAGTGTGTGAAATCCCCACCCTGGAAACCTTTGGGAACGTATTTAGTTTTACTTATCGGACTCAGATTATGCTCATGTGTTTTCAAGATTTTGCTCCAAGAATATTTTTGTTTGTTTTCATGAATTATTCTTATCCCAGTGTCATGATTTGCTATGTACCTTGTAGTCTGAATTCTCTCCCAGTCACTTGCTCTCTCTTGGACTCAATTTTAAAAGCCAAATTGTGGCTCTTAAATTCAGCTTCTATGTGTTGTTGTACTGCAAGTAATCAACAACAGCAGCAGCCACTTCCTAAAAAATAAAAATTTTCATCTAGTCTCTGTGTTTTCGAAAGAAAATATTGGAAATACATTTTAGAGCAGCATGAAGTAGACCTGTAAGGAGTTTTCAACAGGAAGCATTAGTGGCAATGTTTAAATTGAACAAGAAAGAGAAAAATGTATGAAGTAAAGAAAAGGAAATTAGATGATGTGCAGGGAGGAGAGGATTTGACATTTAAAGACTTCCTCTGCTTTGCAGCCTGGTGTAGGAGGTTTTTGCATGTTTCAACTAAGAAATAGTTCCATTTCTACTCTTAGTTGGTGGGCTTGTGAAAATTTGCGTAAAATAAAACCAGTGTTTGTTTTCCTTCTAAAGTCATTTTGCATTTGTCACCACCTGTTGTTGCTGGTCGGTGTTGTAGGTGCAAATGCTAAATGAGATCTATTCATAGTCTTGTGAACAGAATTAATTGCAAGGGGTGATCTGTTAAAATTTCAGTATTTTTATAGTTATATATAAGGTACATTTGTACCATATAAATATTATATTGGGGAGAGCAATTCACAATGAGCCTGCCTTTTAGAAATGCCTTTCTTGGCACTTAGTGTCAGATGGGAGTTTGGATTTTGTGGCTACACAAAGTGCTTGTGTTTAATTGAATCTACTGCCCACATTTACAGAAAGAAAAGTGAAGAGCCTCTCAGGCCACTACTAAGTAGCCTTCACAGTAATGTTATCATTCCTATTACACCTCTACTGCCAGTTTTGCTGCAGAAATCAATATTTTAGCTCCCAAGTCCTTATTTCCAAGTGGTGAATAAGTTAAATAATTACAGATGAGCACTTTGGCATGTTCAGGAATGGAGGGGAGTGCAGCCCTGACTGCAGGGTGTGGGCAGCATCACTGCAGGAAGTGAGCATGGGCCATTCCTGTTGGTACAAACAGCAGTTCAGGGGCTTCGTGGCACCTCATGGAATATAATAAATACCCAGAATGAGATTAAATTAGTAACCATAATGTTGAATCTTCCTAAGATGTTTTTACAGGCTCAAGCATGGGGATATTGATCTTTTGAAATGGTACAGGCAGTGAGTGCAGAGCCAGTGCACCAACCCTAAATCATCCATGTGCATTTATGTGAGTTTAGTTATGTCAAGGAACGGGAATGGTTGTACCTCATAAATGTTTTGCACAGGAACATAAATTCATAATTTGTAATGTTAATTCACATAAGCAATGAGTGTGAGGCTTGCTAGAGAGAGAGCCTGCTGGGTGGCTTTGAGGGTTTTCAAGAACTTTAAAGTGTTCCAATACAGATGTTAAAAAACCAAACAAACAAACAAACAAAATAAGGGTTTGGAGTAGATTTCACGGTTGCAGGAGCACACATCAGGAGTGGTGAGGAAAGAAGGGAAACTTTGTATGGCAGAGTAGGCTAAGAAGATTGTGAGGGTGTTCAGAGGATGCCTGAGACCTGATTAAGGATGGAGACAAAGCCACTTTATGAAATGAATGGGCAGTAAAGCTGAGGCAGCCAGCAGTCAGTGGCACATCATTGAGTATCCTTCTCAGATATTTACTTATCTGAAATCTGTCAAATGGAATTAGCAATACCTGCTAACTAGTAATAACAGGATTAAAGACCTTTTTATGGTTCAGTCATAAAACAAGTCCTCCTTAATCCTGTGTTTTGACTGGCACTGATGGCTTTAAACAAAACTTTTTCATTGCAGAGATGAGACAATATGCTGACCTTCACCATTAAAAATACAAACAGTCTGAGAAGGGGGGAGAGAAGCAAAAATTATCCTCCTGATCTTCCAAAATTAATTAGATTGATCTCATTTAATTAAAGAAGCTTAAAGAAAATAGAATCATTTGACCAAGTAGGCTTTTTTGGTAATCTCTTGAAAACTTTTGTTTATATAAGAGGAGATTGTCAGCTGTAAGAAATTGCTCCTTACTAACCAATAGTCATTAGAGTGGTTCCTACTATTCAGTCTATCTGTAATGTAGTCTGACAGGAATATTTTTAGTTCATATAGAAAAAAAGTACTTGGCTAAACTATTTGGATTTTCTTGGTTAAGCAATTAACCGTGCCTTGTTATTGCTTGTATTTGTTTTGTTTACTGTAGAAGAAAAAGTGCATTTTTACTGTGGAAGTGCACATTCACAGGAAGTTCTTGTTAATATTATTTCAAAAACTTGACACATCCAGCATTCTGTAATCCTTGTTTTCTTTTGCTGTTGATGTTGTGTCACATGTCAACTTCCCATAAATTCTCAGCTGTACCAGATAGTATTTATAAAACTATAAATGTGATTACTGCTTGGTACATTCTGGATTATTCAAACTGGATCAAACTATTCAAACTATTTTTACTTCTGCTTTCATCTCACTGCTGAGTTTTGAGTTTCTGACCATAAAAGACTTAGTCACAAATCACCCCTGGTTCCCAGTAATGGTTAAAATCATTGCGTTGCTCATGGTATGAAAAAAACCCCTCATCTTTATTGCTTTCTGCAGCAGAAATCATGAAGTGGCTACTGTTAAAAATCATTAGTTTGGGGACTCATAGGGAAATCTATTTCGGAGGGCAATTTAGAAACAAAGGGAACAGCAGTAATAGTGATAATAAGACTTTGCTCTTTGGTTAGTATTTTCCCATATTTCATTTATCACAGAAGTGTGAGAGAATGATGACTGGGCTTTTTAAATGGTCACTGGTGGAAATATGTTTACTTCAGGTTAGACTCCCTCAGACACTGTGTATCAGTGTACATTGCTGAAATCATGTAACAAAAATGTCTTTTGCATATTACTTCTCTGGCACTGTTACCTGCATTTTCTGTATGAATCAAGATGGTGCACAATACTGCTGTAAGATTGATTCCACTGCTGTGGAACCACATACGTGGGCATTGTAATTTAACAAAAAAAAAAAAGCGCAAAGAAAAAGGCTGCAACTCTTGAGATTATTGTAGCTGAAACAGTCTGGTCACACACATTGAAAGCCCAGGAAAATGAGGAATATGGGAGTACAGACAAAGAGGATTAAGAGCATTACTACAGGATATTACAGTAGTTCTGTCATTCTGGAAATGACAGTGGTTCTGCCTTGTGTACCCATCTGTAGCTTTTGGCTTGTTAGTGTCTTGAATGTTTGGTTTTTATTAGCCAGGACTTGGAAAGATAGGGCCAAGGATGAAGTTTGGGACAACACATGCCTAAACTGTGCAGCAACAAAGTGCTCAAAGGTCTCCTGGCTGGTAGTAGGAAAGCAGCCAGTATAGCCCTTTGTGGCACATGGCTGAAAACATGTCACAAACCTTCCTCATCATCACTGTATTTGTCTGCTGCCCTTTCTGCCATCTCCATACTCCTCCAAAGTATTTTTTATTAATTTTATATTGCTTTTCTTTTTTGTTTCTTTCTTCTCCCCCCTCCCCCCCTTAATCTTTTACTGCACTTTGTTGGGAAGCCTGGAGCTCAGTCTAACCAAACAGGGGAACTTCATATTCTTTGCAACAAAGTGAATAGGGAAAGAAAAGCAGACAAGGCTGAGGAGTGGCCGTGAAGAAGGAAAGGAGTGCCTGTCCAATCTGTTGCTCACAGGAAAAGGAGGATGAGGAGCCTAGGCTTGAAAAATAAAGAGCATTTTTATGGCACACTTGAGGTGAAATGTTTGTGTGTCAGTCAGAAGTAGTGTCAGCAAGCTGAGAAAAGTTAACTGCAGACTGCTACTTGCCTTTGCTTTTCCAGTATGTTCTCACACCAAGATATAAAGCTGTAACTTATACTTACAGTGTATGTGCTGTGCTGTATGTCCTTACAGAAGTGTGTCTAATTTCACAGTTAGAAAACCAGATGGTTTTATTGGATAGAATAGAATTAATGGAAAAATTCTTTATCTATTCAGATGTTATAAAACTTCTGTAAGATTTTGAGGAATGTAATAATATTTCTTAAGGTGAATAGAAACATTTCAACTGAGAAGACCATTTCAAAGGAAAAATTATGCTTCCCATAAGTATTAAAAGTTTGCTTAGTTTGTCCAAATTGATAATAAAAGGGAATATGAAGCTCATGTTGGTGGAAACTCATGTTGAATTATTCTGTAGACTGTTCTGAGCCTGAGGAAATTATTTATTCATTGCTGAACTTTCATTTATATCTACCGAAATGTTCTTTTTTCTCTACATCTCTCTTACCTCTTCTAGATTTATATATTTGAAAATAACATCTACTATCAGCCTGATGTAAAGAGTAGCTCATTGCGCCTGACATCCTCAGGAAAAGAAGGAATTATTTTTAATGGAATTGCAGACTGGTTATATGAAGGTAAGCTGGACGAATATATCTGTTTATTAAAGCAGATGAAAGGTCCTTGTACAGACCCAACAGCACAAATCTGTTCATTTCAGGAAATGCTAAGGTTAGGTTTGCTTCTTTGCCTTCTCATTTTCTTGCCAGATTGCCTTTGTATTGACTGCTGGTTTGCATATAGCAATGTTTTCTGGGAAAGGGGAATTTATTTTCAACCGGAATGTATCAAATGTATGATCAAACTAGGTAGCATGAAAAAATGTGGGGGGGAAAGGGCTCGGTTTGTTGCTTGTATGAACAACTGTGATGACCTATTTACAGTTAAAACATCCCAATAGAAGAAGACACCAAAGAACAGTAGCTTAGGAGCAGAGTTGACTATGTTTTCTTTTTTATCCCTGGACACAAACTGAAAGGTGATTCCAGATGATACTGCCCAATGTCTCACCTTCTTTTTTTTTTTTTTTTAATTGGCATCTCTCCTTCAGCCTGGGTGGTGGTTGGTGTGCTCTGTGCCAGCATGACTTGAGAGAGACTCCAGACCCTCAAGCCAGGCAGCCACATCATGCTTAACTTTAAGAACGTGCTTGAATCCTATTTGAGAGTTTTGATGAAGTCTAAAAGTGTCTCACTGCTACGTCAACAGTGGCTGCTGCTTTTGCTTAAATCAATCTGTGCTAGGCTCCTGGAAAACTTGCTGTTGCTGGCAAGCAGGGACAAATTGGAGTAGGGGATGGATCACCTGTTGTAATACCCTCCGTCTTCTACACCAGTCTTCTGCCTGGTACCACAGAATGTTTCTCTCTGCACAAAAAAATGTTTTTAACATAATAATAATAAATTTAAGGAAAAAAAAAAGGGGGAGTAGATTTTCTAGCTTGGTACAGCAGCTTAAAACTAATACATATTTCAGTTACTCTTTCTATGGGACGCATGTATTCTCTAGTTAAATAGCTTGGTGTTAAATAATCAGTTACCTGAGGTATATAACTTCTTGTATGTAGGGATTTTCAGGGCAAAGTGTTTTTTAGGAGTGGTGTTAATGCTATACAGCAAGGAATTTAAGCATGGTCCTTAAAAATGGTCTATACATAATTCTTGGCACTTCAGTAGTTATGAAAACAGCTCACCTCAGGGTTTGTTTTTTTTTTAAAATCTGTTCCCAAGTGAACTTAAGTTAGAATGGTAGTTTGCATCCCTCAGCCTGTGTTCAGTAGTTACTCACTTCCAAGATTTCTAATTTTTTGAAATGTTCTAGTGTGGCAGCATATTTGAAGACATAAGGACAGTGGACATTTTGGAAATGTAATGTAGTCTTATGTGCACTTCATATTCTTACCATCTAACATGAAAGCATGTAAATTGAAGAATTTAAGCAGATGTAGCTCATTGAAGTTGATACAGTATATCAAGTTTTTGCTAAAACAAAGTGAAGTTAGTAAGAGCCACAGCCACGAGAAGGAAAAGCAAAAGTTGTCTAGTTTGGGACTTTAAAGTTTCTGAAGTATTGTGGAGATGGTGCACATCCCAAAGCCTTCCTCCCGAAGCATGCCCTAAAGCCTTCTGGAGGTGATTTTGCCGATTCTTTTCCAAGGTTTTTAATCCCTGCTCCAAACAGCTGTTCCATTTCCTGACTTACAGAAAATTCATGGTGTTTCCAGGGATGCAAGCTGTCAGAATTCTTCTCAATATACATCATTAAAATCAGTGTTAAAGGCGGTTCTGTCAGTACATGTTGGAGGACACCACTCCATGTGCTGTGGCAGGAATGAACACACTGCTTCTTTCCCATTAACCACTGTTTAACTTTGAGCAATGTTCTACTTTCAGCAGTGTTTTTCATAGCATCAGAAGCTGAGCAGGCTGAATAGTGTCCAGGTGAAGTTAAGGGATTTTCAGCTGAATCCAGCCCTGTTAGTCCTCTGACCTCATTTTGTTTCTTTTGTCATTTGCCTGAGTTTGTTATTAGCATTTTACCTTACAAAGCATTTGGGGATAGCTTTTCCTTGTGTGAATAACTTTGTCTAAATGCAAACAGTAATATTTTAAAACAAACATAGTTGTGATTTTTGCTATCTGATATTCACCATTCATTCTCTGCTCTTCTCCTGTATGAAAGGTTTTAGTTATCCAACCAGGGAGTGAAGCATGACCCAGAATATATGACTTTGAATATAGGTCTCAGCTTCATTGCACCAAACCTTAGATAATGCAACCTGTTAAGCTGCTTCAGATCGTTCAGAATCTGATTAGCCTCTTGGGGAGTCTCTACTGACAGTTTAACTAGTTTTGCTAGATAGGCTCTCAAATTAGATATGCAGTCAGGCCTTTGTTCCCCTTAGTACATTATTGTCAATCAGTTTTCCAGCCAAATTCTTCAAAATTAAATACAAAATCCTTACCAAGCAAGTCAACATATCATAAGATAATGAAAAAAGTCTGTACGGTGACAATAAATGTAAGAAAACATTGTGTGGCATCTTTGAGAATTACTTTCATTTGGAAAGCAAATAAAATTCGGATAAAAAGAAATGTTTTGTTTGGATTTTCAGAAAGTCACGTTGCAGAAAAACTGAACTTCCTAAGAATTAAACCTGTCCATTAGACTGAGACAAGAAAGTCAAAATACTGGACTCCAAAAATGTGTACATAAATATCTCTATGTGAGGATCTGCATGTTACTAGGTGCTAGAACTCAGAGAAATCAGGTATACTGAAGTTTTATATTAAGAGAAGAAAAAAGAAAGATTGATAATAAAAAAAAAAAACAAGAAAAATAAAAGCAAACAAAAAACACAAACAAAAAACCAAAACAACAACAAAAATCACCCCACATTAAAATGGTCCAAATAATTTAAAATTTAATTAAACACATCTATTGGAATGCAACAGAACTGAACATATGGCAGTTACAATCATCTTTCATGTTTTTCATGTTTAGATGATTTATTGATGTCACTGGAAGTATTCATTTGAGAAAATGGTTCAATCTTGGTCTTTCAATGTGCCTTGGTATTCAAACATTCAGCCCAGGATAATGTGAAATTACTGAAATTACAACAAACACATTTCAAGTAGGCACAGGGAGAATAATTCAGTGCCAGCTGAATAAACTGGAAACTATGTGGTAGTTATTTTATGAACCCTAAGGAAATCTGGTTTTGCAGAGGAACTTCTTCACTCTCACGTTGCCCACTGGTGGTCTCCAGACGGTGAAAGACTGGCCTTCCTGACCATAAATGACTCTTTGGTACCGAACATGGTTATTCCCCGATTTACTGGAGGCCTGTATCCAAAAGGAAAGCAGTATCCATATCCTAAGGTAAGATGACTGTGAGTGCAGCTCCCACCTCCTCTTCCATGTTCAGTGATAGTGTTTCCAAACAGTAACAGAGGCTGTTTTTGTTCATGCTGCTTTTCAGGAAATAATAATTACTTCTTTTTTTTTTTTTCAATAGACTGTAACACCTTTTGCTGGAAAAAAACTATTGGGTGAGGGAACAGCAAACCCACTAATTTGAAGTAATTTCATCATTGATATTTAGCATGATAAAATCAATACAGCACCTTGGAGAGAAGGGTAATATGTGTAAAGGACTGCATAGAGAAATGATCCTGTCACAGCTGCGCTGAAGTCACACACTCCAGTGTGCAGAGCCCAGAGCATGTTCCTTCATAGTGACGTAGATCCCAGTAGATTATGCTGTTATTAATAAATGTGACAGACTGGCATTGAATAAGATAAGCCACAGTTACATATTTTCATGACCATCAAAATGAGAAAAAAAAATAGAGTTATTACTGATTTTCTAAAAATTTAGGGAAGGTTTTTAGATTTGTTTTGGAAATTGAAAGAACAACCCAGAAATGGATAAAGTCTGAAATTGCTCCTTGTTTGCTGGGGATTCTTCTGGGGAGACGCCTCCCTATCTGTTGTTTTGATCTTCCAGCTGATCAGTTTATCCAGCCCTTCTGTGCAATTTCAAAGTGTCAATTCCTTTCTGACAGGTTATGTTGGTCCATGTATATGATACTCCTTTGACATTTCAGGGGAAGTTTATTGAGAGCTTTAGAAAATAGTACTGTTACTCTACTCCTGCTGCTTTATTTTGGTGATGACCCTTTATTCTTGATGGGTGAACAGTTAGGTCAGGTGCTATGAAACAGTAGCATGAATGATATAAATAGAATGTATTTGTGCTGTGAAATAATACTATAAAATAATGAAGTAACCATATTTTCTGAGTTAGTGTATATACTTGCATTGGAAAAAGGCCTTGAGTGACACAGCAAAGAAAAAAAATAAAGAATATTTTTAAAATTCAGCTTTGTAAATGAGAAAGGAGTAATTCTTTTTCATTAGCAATTCAGCATAAAAGTGATACACAATATACTTCAGTAATCTCATTAATGAAGAAACATTATCTTTATTTAATGTCTCCATTTAATGCCAATTTAGCTACCCGTTAAACATCATTAATTGGTAATGAAGCTTGTGGTATAGCAACAGAGATTTAAAAAAAGATTTGGTCTTTGTTATAAAGTACAAAATTATAGCTATAATTAAAAAATAAAATGAAGCATGTGTTTGTGAACACTGGAACATGCTCGTATGTGTACGTGTCATACACACAGACTGTGTTCTCCAAAAAAAAAAAAAGAAAAAGGAAGTTTAAGCTTTGTTGCATTTATCAAGAACAAAGTAGGATTTCAATGCAGAGAGTTCTTGCACTACTGAGCAAATGTTTTGGCTGCTGTGCAACATTTATGCTGTTTAAATTGGCATGAGAAGACCCTGAGGGGTGGAGGAGTTAGCTGAGGGAGAGATGTGGGTGTGAGAATTTTCTGCCCAGTAGAACACCCACTTTCAGCTGCAGGAGACCTCTGCAGGTTGTGGGATCTCAGTGCCCCGCTGACCAGAGCTGGGGGGACAGACCTCACAGCTAGCTACAGCTGGGGAGCTGAATCTTGGATGTATCCACACAGCAGAGTAGGGCACCCTGAGGGTGTCTGTGGCAGAGACACAGGGGCAGTTTTGGGGCAGTTTAGTCCCTTCAGACCTAGCACAGGTCTGACCACGTTTGATCTGAAGGTTTGCTGTGAAGGTTTGCTGTGAAGGTGTGCTTTGGAGTATCTCTTAAAGCTCATACTGCTGCTGGGTGGTAATTACTGATGGCAGCCCTGCCTGTGAGAGCACTTGGACACTACTGTGCAGGCAATGTAAGGTTCAAGGGACATAAGGAGCCTGCAGTGGTGTCCTAAAGACTTGATCTTTCAATGGTTTTCTTCCACAGTTATGCATTTGTGTAAGCCGTGTTCATGCAGATGATGCCTGTGAAGGATGACATTTCTTTTGAGGCAAATGTCAAAATTTTTGTGAAAAAAAAAGTAAAAGAAAAATAATTCCAAGAGTTTAATTAAGTCCCTTTTTTAAACTATTTTTTTTAAGCATTATTAAAAATACACAAATGCCACTTTCTTGTCCTCCGTGCCACCCAGAAAAGAGTGGATACCGCATTCAGACTTTATTGAGAGAAGCCCAATTTTTAAAAGGAACTTGTGTATTTCAGCCAAGCTATTTTGCATTTCTGTATAGCCCTGTGAAGAGCCAGATACACAACTTTGTAGTTTATTGTAACCAAATCTGTAGAATCAGTGATTTTTACCTTTTCCTTCCAATAGTAAACAGGAGTCAGCCCCGTTGAAGGACACACTTTTCATTCTGTGTATTCCAAGAACATTATATAATTTTGTGTGACTCCTGTGACTTAAATGAAACAGAATTTGGAAATTATATTTTTAGAATAGAGATGTAGAAACAGAAGCATCTCTTTGCAGCCCTTCAGAGCTTTACTTTCTATCACCAATGCTTTTTTTCTTCTCAGGAACATCCCTTAGTTACCAGGAGAAGGATTATTCCCATCTCCCTGTAGATACTCAGGATTTATCAGACTCTTCCCAGTGGATATACATCAAACTGCCCTTTTATTCCCATTTTGCAACGGGAAGTATTTTGTTCCCCTTAGAACTGACCTACCAAAGCAGCTGGCTCCTTATCAGGGCCAAACTCAGCAAACCAGGGAAGAAAGACTGGGGGAAAATGGTAAATTAAAAGAAGGAAAGAGGAGAAATGCTATCCCAGATAGAGGCAGAGCAGCTTTTTGGAAGAAGGAACAATAGTGCCCGGAAAATATTTTGCTGGAGGTTTAGGAACTGACTGTGTTTTTACAGCTGACTTAACTGGACCAGGCAAAGCTGCTTGTAGCATTGGTCACTTGCTCTGCATGGGAAGGTCTCCCATTAGAAAAGGCAGTGAGAGAATCTGTCAGTATTTCATATCTTTATCTGTGTGATTCAAATGGCTGTGAAATTAATTTTTAAAATTTAAGATATTTTAATTTTAATAACCTTTCATTATTCTAAAAATACTTAATTATGTTAATGAGTGAGTATGTTCAGTTGTCACTGATTCAGTGCCTCTAAAGCTTCTATTTATTTTTTCTTTTCCAAAGGCAGGTCAAACAAACCCAACAGTAAAGCTGTTTGTAGTTAATCTGTATGGACCAGCACATACACTGGAACTGATGCCACCTGACAGCTTTAAATCAAGGTATATAATTTCCTTGTTTTGAAACTCATGTTTGATTTAACCTAACTGTCTCTAGGTTAATCACTGCCTTTTTACACTTATCTTGGACTGGAATTCACTTGATCTCAGTCCCTGTGGCTGAACATAATGATAAAATAAAAACAGCTGTACTGGACTGATGCTTCTCTTATAAATCACAGGGGTCTAGGATTTGCTCATGTTTGATGTCTTGAGAAACTCCAATTTACTAGGAATATATTTAATTAAAAATCCTAAGCTGTGGTCAGGGGAGGTGAAAACACTGTCCTGCTTCTGAGGTAGTTACTCATTCACTCCCAGCCATTGCTTGCTGTGTGCCAACTTGTTGCTTTCGGTTTCTGACATGAGATTGTAGAAGTGTCTTGAAAATGCTCACAACAGAGAATTGGGGTGTTCTCTCATTTAGAGAGAATTATTCTGAACCTTTCCTTTCATTTCTCATCCCAGCTGACAGGTGCAGTGAGGTGGCGGAAGGTGAGGAGCAATGCCACCAGATCACTCAGGCTAAGAGAGGCAGGGCTGTGTTTTTCAGGAGAAACTGCTACAGAACCACTGAGCTGATTTAACATTTCCTTTGAGGCTGAAGTAATGAGGTCTGGCTGAAACTGCTAAAGTTCCTGCATTAAGCTGGAGATGCCTGAAATTTTTCTTTTAAGGGCAGGAAAATTTTCATCCCTTCCCATGTTTGTGTTCAAGTTTGTAGAGTTGCAGTCACCTTCCTTAAATTCCCATTGTGGTTTCAGTACATATACTAATGATCTCCTAGCCCTAAAATGTTATATAATAGAGGTAATAATAACAATAATAATAATAATGATGATAATAATAATAATAATAATGACAGCAGTTTCTACAGTGCAGATCTGGCTGCTATCTAAGAGCCAGAGAAGTGCCACTTCCCCTATCCACTCAGGGCATTTTCAGATGGAGAGCACTGTGAAAAGGAAGGGTATGTTTCTACGTATATACACGTACTACACTACATTCCTGATAAACAATTCATACTGTAGTGAAGTTTGAACATATTTTTATGCATAGCTGATGGCAGAGGGAAAAAGAGGGATTATTAGGTGACCTTTTGCTTTTATTTCAGTGCTCAAGGAGTTTATGTCAGTGATAGAAAGTGATGTTATGGTTTGATTTGGACTATTAACTACTATATTAGCTGGATTCTGTATGCTAAATCTCCTGTTCCTATCCCTCACTGAATACTTTTTAAAATGAAATATTTCAGGGCCTGGGATTGGAGTTGCACTCTTTGGTTTGTTTCTTGGATCATTGCTTTGTTGGATAGGTCAGCTGGTGTTGTGATAGCTCTTGCTTTACTTTTGGCATACATTTTTGTGACTTCATAAGTTAAAATACTTTTAAGCCCAAAAGATGTAAATATTACACTCACTATACACTTGGAGTTACCATTTCTGGTTATCGTTCTGGTATCCACATGTGAAAATATCTGCTTTACTTAAATTGAAATATAAAAGCCAAAAGAAAGCTGGGCATACTGAGTTGTTCAGGCCTCTTCTGCAAATACAGCACCAGACTGGGGCTGGGTGAAGTTACAGTGAATTTCTGCCTCCTGCACCTCCTGTGTGTAGCATCAGAGCTGTACACAGCTTTGCTGTTGGTGCTTCTCAGCATCTTTGTTCTAGCAAGGAGGCTTTTGAATGTTTAATTAAATACATGTTTGTCAAAGAGTAATGAGATCTCCATCAGTTTTGGATTAAAAGCCTAATTATATTCAAGCCAAGCCCCTTGTTTGAAAGGGGGTCTGAGTTTTCAGACAAGCTCGCTCTGCTGTTGCACATCACTCAGCCGGACTGTGAAAGCTGCCAGCTGCCACCAGTGGAGAAGTGAAGCAAATAGCCTGGCTGGGATGACAGGCTGCAACAGGTCTTCTGTAACATCTCCAGCCTGACAACCTAGCAGGATTTTGTGAGGAGGGAGGCAGATTTTCCATATCGTGAGTCTGTGCCTGGAAATTCTCATGTGCTCAGCCAGGGTTGTTGAGGGACAAACAGTTACGAGCTATTTGTTAAAACAGAAGCAGAAATACAATGATACTGAGTGGGACTTCCCTTTTATCCAGAAGTCCCATTATAAAACAGTTGTTATTTTATAGCAAGTGGCATTTTAAAGTGGGGTCTGTCTGCATCAAACATTACAGACTTACAGAACTTTTTGTTTCTTTTGGCAGTAGGACTGGATTCTTTGGCAAAAACGTGTCTTCTGAAGGTACTTGGTATAGGAAAATACTGGCTTCTGTTGAAATTCAGTGCTTGTTTTTAAGCTGGCTGGAAAGTACACGGTTCATGTGTATTTGCAAACATATGTTTCACAGTTGGTAAAGTTTGTATCTATATGCAAAAATTTCCCTGGGGAACAGTACACGGAAGGACTGAGCCTTTCCAATTGTAGGAACGCAGATGCTGGGCACTTGGGTTTATTTTCCCCGTCCCTCAGCACTGATACTGTCATGCCATACAAATCCAGCATTTGAATGAACTGTATTTTTAAGGTCTAATCTGAAATATCAAGTATCTGAAATTTGTGTTTTCAAATGTTTACTTAGGGAATATTATATCACCATGGTGAAATGGGTAAGCAACACCAAGGCTGTGGTGAGATGGTTAAACAGAGCTCAGAATATCTCCATCCTAACAGTTTGTGAAACTACAACTGGGGCTTGTACCAGGGTAAGTTGTGTTAGCTTTTTTTTTCCTAAAGATCTCTTTTCAAGGTTTCTTCTGCATTTTGTTTTCATATTCAGAAAAAGATTTTTTGTAAATGAGTTTGCAGATGCAGTAGTTGCAAGCTGAATATAATTAGTCAACAGGGAGGAAATAGATGTGAGAAGATTCCAAATGTGGTAAAATGATTTCATGCAATTAACAGCTTTGAGTGACATTTTCGGAATTGCTAAGCTTTGTTCATTCATTAACTTCAGTGGAGACTGATGTTGCTGAACATCATGTACTTGGGATATAGCTAGAGCAGCGACAAGCTTGTCTTCCCTCAGATATTTTCAGCTGACTAATTTCTCCTCTCCCCCTGCAGAGTTTGATTTTAGATCCTTCTGTCTCTCACAGCTTATGTATTTTTAAGGAAAAAGGTGTAAAACTCTGATAATTCCTTCAAATTCAATAGCAGAAATAAATAACTTCAGAAAAAAAAAAAAAAGGAAAGACAAAAGGGAGACTTCATTTTTGAATGTTAGCCAAGCTGAAATACATTTTTCTATTTGAATCCAGCTGCATCTCATCCCTTGACCCTGAATTTGACTTCTGACACTCGTGCATTACATCTCCCCATTTTCACAGTCAATCTTGCATCTTGAATAAAATTGGCTTCTTTCCCATTCTGAGTCACGATCTCTTCCCAGAACCAGCTAAAAGTATAAGTATTTTCTATACATGCTAATATCAGTACCAGCAGATGCTCCAAAGTAGAGGGTATAATTTGGCAGAGTAAGTGGTTATGAGTGATAAATGTTGGCCTCTGAGTCAAAAGGCTCCCATCAATGTCTGCTACTGAAGTCAGTCCTGTTGAAGTGTTAGAAATGATTTCTGAGCTCATCTACTTCTATAGCTACAGAGTACAAGTTGCTTTTCCTGTCTCAGAAGCTATAAATAAATCCCCAAAATACGGATTAAGAGTGTGACCATGGAGATTTGTTGATTGGGTTGCTTTTTACCTGGTTCCTGCAAGCCTTGTGCCTTTTATTGAGAAAGTTGGCCATAAACCACTGTGAGCAGTCGCTTCTGAAAGGGAAACCTTTATGTGCTCCAAGGTCAATTGGACTTGTTTGAAGTAGGTATCCAGGGAGCTGTAATCCAGGATATAATGTCAGAGAGAGAGAGACTGAGAAGTCCCACTCCAGAAAACTTAGAGTGCAGCAAAGGACATTTCTAGGTGGGTGAGGAAAGAGAACAATGCAGTGTCACTGTAGTAAGCTCATCTCAGCCTCATGCCTGTACCCCTGGATGGTTCTATTCTGCACCCACTGGGGTAAGGTGAAGCTCTAGAAATCACTAATGGAAGAGGAAGGGCCTTATTGTGACAATTTAGCATTGTATCACACCATTTGATTTCAAATATAACCCTTTTTTTCCCCTAGCATTTTGCATATGTTCTCAGTTTCAAAAAGTACTGTATCAAACCAGCTGGTGTAACAGCTACAGATTTTCATTTCTCAGGCCATATATGTAAAGACACTTCTGTAGCTAATAAATCTTCATTACTTCATTGTGACTATGACAATTTGTAACAATTGATGTTTTAGGGTTTTTTTTGCAACAATGTATGTGTGGTATTTGGGTTTTTTCTTTCAGTTGGCATGATGTGAAATATGAGTAGGAACAATAAAAAAGAATAATTTGTATTTATTTTTTCTTCTCATCACTAATGCCAGACTACAACCCATTAAAACAAGGGATTGTGATTTGAAAAGGTCTCACAATTTGAGCTTGATGCTGGCTGTTTGCCCAGTGTTGATGAAGGACCTAAAATATCCAGTTGTCAGATGATGCCTAGAGGTAAAAAACAAATAGAACTGCCTTTGTAAAGCTTGATAGCTAATCAGAAAGGACTGAAAACGGCATTCTTAGGTCCCCTGTGGTGTTCTACCAGAAACTCTGAATAAAGCAGCTGACTTAGTAATTAAATTATTGTTTGTTTCTATGGAAGTGCCAGCAAAGGGATGTGAAGATTGTAGCACAGTGGAAACAAAACCCCATGAAATAACTAGTGACCTTTTGCTGAATGTGGGAGATATTTTTGATCTATAGCTTTTCCATAAAAGGAATTTTTCTTCTTTTTTTTTTTTTTTTTTTCCAGAAATATGAAATGCAGTCAGACCTGTGGCTTCCTAAACAGGTACAGTATAAGTCCTGTTTCTGGGTGTATAATGTGTCATTGTTTCATTGTCATTTTATTTAATTATGTGGTATTTTATAAGCTAATAAAATCCTGAGACACCTGTGTGGGTTTTGGAGGCAATATTCCCTTCAGTTTCCAATCTGTCTGCATTCAGTTCAGTAAGCACTTAGGTGACTGGCTGATTAACTATCTAACTCTTGGATGGTTAAAGACAGATGAGATGAATCCCATTCCAGGCATGTCCTATATACTGTGCTGATTTTTTTCTGATTAAAAAATAACCTCACTAAATTACACCCAAAGGAGTTCAAGGATTAGAGGTCATATGGGCTGTAATTGGAATACATAAGTATAATATTTCTGAATTCACACCCAGAACAGTATGTTGAACTAATATGCCAGCAAATTATTCCATTTTCATAGCTTCAGAAGAACTGTCCAATAAATGGATGAAACACATTCTATTTAAAATACATTTCAGGCTTCATTTTGCAACGTGCAAATGAGAAATCATTTTAGCAAAAAACTATGCTTTTATAGCAAACCATTTCCATTTAATATTTCTGTGTAAAGTTAGATGTGAAGAGATGTTATCACATCATGCTACAATTTGTGGTACGACCCTGATTCAGAATACCACTTCAATGTGCTTATTTTTTCCATACAGCTTCATCAAAATCAGTGATTGTTAAGCATGTTTAGCATTGTTAAGGCTCAATAATGTTTTGCTGGGTCCAGACCACTGAAACTTTTTTTTTCCTCATCACTTGCAGGCCTTGTCTCTGTCAGTAATTGTAGTCTGTAAAGGGAATTATCCTGGAAAGTCCCCCTGCATTAGGGATGAGATTACCAGGCCTTTCACTGTGAGGGAGAGTTTAACAAGGGCTGTAACCAGTGCTTTAGGACAAGAATGCACATGGCACGAACTACTTTTAGCTTTAGCCACCACATTTTTCTTAATCTTAGCAGAATAGATTTAAAACCTAAGGATTTTTTCCAGTTGACTCATGAGCACAGCAACTACCAAAACCAAGGAGAGAAAGAACTTAAGCTGATCTTTTTGTTTAGAAGTCTAATATAAAGTGTGGCAAACTGACACAATCTTACATTTATAGAACGAAGAACCGGTTTTCTCCAAGGACGGCAGTAAGTTCTTCATGACTGTCCCAGTGAAGCAGGGAGGCCGGGGCGAATTTCACCACATAGCCATGTTCATTGTGCAGGTGAGGTTTTGGTTCTGGCTGTTTTCAGTATCTTAGTGGTCATCTAGAGCTTTTACTAAGGACACAAGGCCCAGACATTTCATTGGAGTCCGAACACTTGTGTCATCGTTTGTCCTCTCCAGGTTGTCCCTTGGTGCAGAGGGGACATATTTGTAACTTCTTCCAGAATGAGTGGAGGGTTCTCTCTTTCCTAAGACCTCTTCTGTGGTAGCACATGTGTTCTCTAAATGGAAGGTACTTCCCAAGTACTTTCTCTGGAAGATTTCATGTTTTCTTTGTACCTCTGTAGGCAAGCAGAGATGTTTTCTTGTTAAACCCTTCTGTCAGTAGTAATGTTTTATAGCCACAGAAATTCAAGAGACCTGCAGAATCACTATTTTTATACTCTCCATATACGCTTTACATGCATAAGTATGATTTTAAATGTCTGTTCAGAATCTGGCCTTAAACAGAACAGTAAAGGCAGGAAATACCCTAACTTAAAATTTTGGAAGAGTTAGGACTCTTTATTACCCTTTGCAACATTTTTCAGTGGCTTCCATTTCCCAGGGTCATTACTTTTTCCAAAGAAGAATGTGAAAGAAGATAAATTTGCACTATGACTTTGAAGGTCACCAGTATGAAGTTGGGATGAACTAATAAAAGAAATTATGCCCTGGAACGGAACACTCCAAGGCATCTATTTAAATCAGCAGAGCATTAATCCAGGTACTTTAGCAGAGCCATATGAGATAGGAAGGATTATCAAGGTACCCAAAACATCAAAATAGCAGACTTGGCACCAGGACACTCTATTATCTGCCTTTATGACAGTGTTCTGGTATGAACATTATTAAGTCTGAAATATGTTCACAGTGTACTGCAAACAGAACAAGAGCAAAAGAACTTCAATGAAAATTTAACCTTAAGAAGCAAGAATGAAGATGCTCGTTCACTAGAGTAAATATATCCAGAAAGAGTCAGTGAAGATAAAAAGGATCAAAGACATGTCAAATTCTATCTTCTAAAGAAAACAGAAACTCAGATGACAGTCTGGTAAAGGTGTATTAGTACAGCAACCACATAAAAATTTACACCAGAGCAAAACTATTTAGTCAGTAAAGTCTTATTTTGGTATCTTTCCCACTATGAATAAATACCTTTAAAATACATGAAATAGTAACTCTCTAGATCTGAAAGTTAATTTGCAACACTCCCAAGAATGGTACAGATACAATCAAATTTGCCTTAAACCTGTAGGCTCTGAGATTTCTCACTACTAGAAAGCCCAGGAAACTTGATCCTCATTCAGGAAAATCTTTAAGCAAAAATTAAGCCCACTCTTATTCAATAAGGTGATTAAATATATACCTACTTCTAAACACATCTTCACAAAATTTAACCAGAATAAAGTCGAGTTGATGATTCAGAGTTTTATCCCTTTTAGGCAGAATCAGAGGCCTGGGTACTGCACAGCTCCAAAAATAAAAAAATACTTGTATGTTGACTGCCATCAGCATGAATAAACAAATTTGAATGGTATAACCAATGACAAATTTGGCTTTTAGTATGTAGTTGCTCCTAAGAAGAAGGAAATGTGATAACACATGTATCAAGCATTATTCATCAGTAAGCAACATTCTGCATGGTAATGGGGCTGACACAGAGCAGTAAAGGACAGGAAATGCGTTTGTATGATGTGTTTTACACACTGCATTAATCTGATTGTCCATTATTTCTAAAGCAAACATGGAGGCATAAAAAGTATATTAACCGTTGCACATAAAGTCTTTTGTCACATTAGATGTTTGTCACACCCAGTGAGAGCCACAGTGCCATAGCAGGTGCCCTGCAGAATTTAAAGTAGTTGGGAGATCACCAGTACCCAGATGATCACAGCTTTTCCATGATGGAGCTCAGGTAACACTGGAATTTGGCATTTGGATTCCCACTGCTGCTCTGTGCTACTCAGTACAGATATTTATTGAGGGAGATCAGCCTCTGCATGCAGCAAAGTTAAAACACAGGACCAATGTGAACTCGTGGGGACAAAGTACATTTTAATGGCTCACTTTGACAAATCAGCCTCAGTGATTAAATTAATCTTAAAACGAAGTGCTGACAAATGGTGGTCTTTCTCTGGCTGCATTTCTTTGACTGTACTTCAGAAAAGCATGTGGCAATGACACAATCAAAGCAGGTTAGCAGAAGCTTCTAATTAAAGATTTAATTAGGGAAGTGGCTGCAGTGGGAAGTGACTGTCTAAAAGATTTCTGTCTATCATAGATTATTTACTGTCTGGATGTAGAGGGATAGATGTGTGGTTTATTGTTTACAAATGCTTTTAGTAACTTATGAAATATTTAAAACAAACTAATCTCAAAATGGTATTGATTCATTTGTTATGTGTCTAGAAATTTCTTTCATGGAGTTTTGCAACTCTAGAAAGTCTCTTTTTTTCCAACCACAAAATAAGAATTATAAAGTTACTTTAATGGATCAAGGCGATAACTTCCTGCAAGCTTCATAAATTATGTATTATGGCTGTAACCATGAAAAATAACCATGTTTATTAACACTTGGCTGGGCTTTTTATTGCTGTTTCTTGTTAGATCCTGTGATCTTAATATTTAAATATCTCTTTCAATTGTTGCAGCTTTTCCCTCTTGAAAGAAGGCGTAGTCACTTAGAATAAATCACTAATTTGTATTTTAATCATTCTTGGAGTCAGCACTGAATATCACAATCTTCTTGAATGGAGGACCCTCATCATAGACATATGTACAGCATCTAGCACAATGTCCTGGTTTTGTTTGGTACTTGCAAGTCTTGTCATAGAGTTACTACATCATTCTTTCCTTGAGGATCTGTTAGAAAACAGATCAGTTCTAAGGGACTTGGTTCTGCCTTGGCAGTTCCCAGCATTTCTCATAGATATCCTTGAGCTTTTTCTGTTTTCTTGTTATTGCTGCTGTTGATGCAGAACTTTGGGTACAGTTCAGAAATACATGGATTGGAAAAAGCAAACCCTTTTTGCCTTTATAAACTTTTGTAGGCCACATAACCACTGAGGTCACAGCGGTTAGGTATGGACTGGTGCTGCAGGTTCACAAGCCACAAGGCCAGAAAGCACCATTAGATCCTCTGTCTGACCTCCTTTGTAGCACCTGCTGCTCGGTTTTGCCCACTGAAGATGAAATATAAGCTGAAATATCACCTCTTTTCTTTACTAAGTTTGTCTTGAATTTGAAAACTTAAGAATTTGTATATCCAGGCCAAGCATCATAACCCAAATACAGATAAAAACACTCTGTTCAAGCAGTGAGGGTTGAAGTTTTAATCTTCAATAGCCTAGGCCAAGATTTTACCTTTTGCAGTAGGAGCTTCTTAGTCTTCATGTTCTGTTGTTTTTAACCTGTGTCTGATGAGCAACCTACTGCAAAGAGTTGGTTTCCAGCCAAAGAGTTGGTTTTACCTGCACTGCATCCTGATGTTTCCTAATTCAGTTCCTGGTGCATTGGCTGAGAAAAGTGTCATCACATTCTTTGAAAGGATGTTTTGAATTTCCCCCTGTAGCAGTTATTCTTCTGGGCTTACAGGGGTAGAAACTGCTTCTGAAAGGAAAATACACATGCTCCCCAGCTTGTAAGCATTTGGTTCAGTTGCCAAAATTTAAAGCTACTCTTAGCTTCTTACAGGTGCTGGATAAAGAGAGGCTTCTCCATGGTGCACAGTGGAGCAGGGGAAAGATTCCCTGGAATGCTACTGTGAAGGAAAAGAAACACTAAGAAAAAGAAAGCATGTGGAATGGCAATGTCCTTAGCTTGAAGTATTGGACTTAGATTGTTTGTTGGCATCTGGGCAGCTGAAAGAAAAGTTGTGATGAAAACCAACATTGTTTTAATGACTTTGAAAAGTTTATATATGGGGGGGGGAAAGATACTATAAATTCAGGCCTGTCAAAATGTGAGGTTTGTGATTTAAAGATGTTACATTGCATATTTAAGTTTTAAAAGCTGTAATCAATAATGACATGTTCAGACCATCCCTCTGGACAAAGAAAAATATAACAAGTAAGGTGAAAGTCAATGTTTTCCATCTCTTTCCAGGCTAAAAGTGAACAAATCAGTGTGAGACACCTTACATCGGGAAACTGGGAAGTTATCAAAATACTGGCATATGATGAAAATACTCAAAAGATGTAAGCACTATTCTCTGTGTTTGTTCAAGAAAATATCTGAGTTATTAAAATGAAATCCATTTAACTGGAAATAATATATCTCAAATCAAACAATGATATTTCTTTCAGTTTTGAGCATTGCCATAACTCTGACACACCTGAGTGCCTAAAGTGCAGTTGTAAGACAATTTATCTGCCATTCTGTTGTTGAGTGTGTTTTTAAGCAGAGGGAAAAGAAGCACACCATGACATCACTTACTCACTGCATTTTTCTGAACAAAAGAAATCAACACACAGTGCAGCAGTAGTAACATTTTGGTGACTTCTTTCCTGGAATCCAGATAAAGAGTCATAGTAAATTTTTAGTACCTGATAAAACATCAAACCTTTAGTTTTTATCCTGGCTTGGTTACTGCATGAGGCCTCAGAGTTTTGGGGATCTGGTTCAATCTCATAAATTCAAATTATCTGTAGAGATTATCAGAACTCCTGATTCTTACCCAGCTCACAGAGAAATCTTTCTGAAGCCCATCTTACTGATATAGTAGAAGGAAATGCAGCACATACTTGGTGCTTTTGGGGGAAGTATAGAACTGACACAAAATGCCTGAAGGCTCCACGTTAACTTCAGTGGAACTTCCTTAGTTTTCAATTTTATCTGCCCATGGCAAAAAAATAGACATTTTCATTTTCTTTAAAATAAATGATATTTCAGCAAGCACCTTTTTGAGCCTACAACAAGACCCATCTTCTACACTAGTACTGGAGAAAACCCTTTTTGACCAGTCCTTCTATGGGTTCTGAAAATATATCCATGGATAATTTCTAGATACTCCTGGAAGGTTCAGGTGAAAAAAATGAGGTCTGGATGCACTCAGCCTGCAGAGAGGCAACAGACCTCATGTGGGTTGTCTCAGCCTCTTGAGAGGATTTCCTTGCCCTTCTTCTGCCTATCAAGCAGAAGCTTTTGGTGATCTCACCTGGGAAACACCAAGGGCTTGTCTTGGTATTCTTGCAGCAGCTTTAGCACCCAGTCTCTTTCTACCTGTAAAAACTAGATAGAAGAAAAAGTTTTCCTACAGCTCAAAAAGGCTTTTGGGTATCATAAGACCTATTGTAATAGATGATATTGTAATAGATGATATAATTTCATTGTGACCTTTATCTACCACTTGGATTTATATTGCAAACTCTGGAGTGAAGGAGAAACTTTCTCCTCTGTATTTGTAATGTGCAGGAAGGCATCCTGGTTGCTGCTGGAGCTCCCTGGGCATTTCAGGATTTAAACAGAAACTCTAAAACACTGTGTTCATCACTGTTAAAATATGAAACCATATGCCTTCTGAAATAACTACTCTGTGTACTGGGTTCAAGTTTAATCTTGGAAATTAGGTTATTATGTAAGTGGTTTATCTTCATGGATATTTGGGAATTTTTAATTTTAAAAAATGTTATTGATGGTGCCTCTCATTGCCCTAAACACTTTTCACATCAGACAGTTTACCAAACGGAGTTTAACTTTTAACTTTGTTCATCTTTTGGGCACAGTTATTTCTTAAGCACTGAAGAATCCCCAAGAGGAAGACAGCTGCATAGGTAAGAAGTATATGGGGCTGTGTTAACAGCTTCTTCATCCAAGCTGTAAGTGCAGTGGTGCTTGGGTAATGATTTATATTGTGTAACAATTAGTATGCTTGAGCTGTAGCAAGGAAAGAATCACAGCTTTTCTAAGTTAAAAATTTCAATGATACTTTAAATTTCCTAAAAAATGGAAAAAAATTTTAACACAAAATGTTTTTACCAATTACATCTTTAGTAGTCCTCTACAAGCATCTAAAAAGCTAAACCTAAATGCAAGCATTTAACATGACTGTGTTTTAAAAGTAAAAAAAAAGTCTTCTAAATAAATATATTTATAGGGTTTAATCATGTAACTTAGTGTGTGGGCGAAGCACCTCATCTTTGCACAAACCTCAGTGCTTGAATCTGAAGTTAGTGAGGCTCTTCATTGTGTCCTACTAATACTGGTACCCCACAGCATTGCTACTTATTGGATCCTCAGTCTTGCTTTGGGCAGGTTTTGGATCCTGTCCACATTGCCCAGTTTACAGAACTGAGTCCACTGAGTCATCTGAGAACAGTTTCCCTCAGGAAAATGAGGCAGTGGTATTTAAGCAAGCTGGGGGACTGAAACAAACTTTGTCACTCCAATGAGCTAATTCTTGGTTTATTGTATTTTATTACAATGTAAAATGTTTCTGATTAATTTTTTCCACAGTGTATCAACAGTGGGGTCATTGAATCGTCAGTGTCTCTCATGTAACTTCTTGAAAGACCGGTGCACATACTTCAGTGCAAAGTTTAGCCCCATGAATAGGCATTTTCTACTGCACTGTAAAGGTAAGTCAAATGCACAGTGTATAGTAGTGCATGTTTGCTTCTGAATTAATGTATACGCTTGAGAGGGGCGTTAGGCTGGAGTCTAACAGTTGGCTCAGTAGTGGGTTACTCAAAGTTCTGTACAGAGCCTGTTCCAAGACTAAGTGAAGATGTTCTGTGTAACAGCTAAATAACATGTCGGAATACAACTAAATAAAAATGTCGGAAAGCTGACATCCAATCTTAACCCTTCTGTCCAAGTAAAGGACATTGACTTAAAGTCACCCAAAATAAAAATCCTTCACCAAAAAATTTGGAATTTATGGTGATGGTACTGTGGTTTGTATCATCTTCATTATTTTGAGTATAGGGTTTGATCTTGTGTGATTATACCTAGTTAAAAAATGAGGGCCTTCTTTCTGTAACAGTTTCTCTATGTGTTTACACATGTATGTTCACAGTGTATCTGTACACACCCCCATATGTGTGTGTGTATCTTCCAAAAACCAGGTGTGGTTTAATCCTCAGATCCTCTCTATCAGAATAATTACAATAAATAACTCCTGGTGTTTTATTTTTAGCTATGTTCCAGTATGGCACCAGTGGGGTCAGAGTTTCTCTATAAACAGAAAAATAGAACACTGAAATTTATAACTTACACTCAGGAAATAAACACTGAGAAATAAGTAAGATTATAAAAAAAGGTTCAGAAAAGCATGAGACAATCAATAATAAAGTATATAGCTAGACCTGTTGTCCTTGAAACTTGTAATATTTTACACTGTCCAACCAGTACTTTTGCATAGTTAGAATCAGGCTGAAAAGGGTAGAACACAATTCATCTGAAATACATATGAATAGCCCATTTTATTTGCATGTATTTTTCTATTTCTTTTGCAACTCCACTTTTATTTTTGCACAAAAATAAAATATCTGCCAGCTTGAGCATTGAATCTATCCAAACAAACAAACTATGAATATATATTGGCTAAAATAAGGAGTCTGGTTTTATTTATTTTTTGTTGGTTGGGTTTTTTTGCGGAAATATACCTATAAGGCATAACTGATTAGAAAAAAAAATATAAAAACTGTATGGTTTATACATGGTTAAATCTGCAGCATGATGTTACAGAGCTAATCCTGAGATCCATATCTGAGTAAAGACTGCACTAGTAATGACTTCCTCATGCTTTAAGCAGAGTTTTCCCTTGTTCTTAACATAGTCCCTATGGGGTAAGTCTCAGATTTTCCTGCAAGAGGGAGGACTGGTAAATTGAGAAGTTTTTTTCCCTGAATCAGCAATGTTCCAGGGTCCAAAAGGACAGCTTCTTGTTATTATTTTAGCAAAGTATATTCAGCCTGTATTTTTTAATGTGTTCTTTTGATATAAAAACGTGGATGGCAGCAGGAAGTTGTGCATGGAATTACTCACAGGCTCATGACTTTCAGTGACTTTGGAGGTGGCAGTCGTCTGTTTGAGCTGATAAGGCTGTAGATCATCCTCCCAGGATTAAACCTACACTCCACTGAGTTACAGCCAGTAAACTGCCCTAAGCTGCAGGTCGTGGGCACGGATGATAAACCACTGTCACGAAGTTTTTCCTACCTCTAACATTAATGCACAGCTGTCACCTTGGAGTTACTCAGTGGCCTTCTCTTGTGTTTAATCAGAGCTTGGCAGTGGTGTGGCCCTCATATTCTGCCACGACTCTGTGGTGCATTGGGTGTTTGGGAGTATCAAAGTTGATGGCAACATCACCACAGAACAGGTATTAAACTCTTCTGCAGGGTGTTGCTTGTAGGAGTGTGATGTAAACTGCTTCGAGGAGACAAATGACACTGCATCTACTTGCATACTCACTCATTTTCCCACCACAAAAAGCCTTTGCCGAATTGTTACAAAAGCAATTTGCCCAGAAAAATTGTTGGGGGACTCTGGACTAGTTTGATCTGTACAAGTTTCAATTCTTCCACCTCCTGTTTACCCATGAGCACCTTTATTAGGATAGTTTTTCCTGCTTAGTTTTCCTCACCAAGGAGATCTGTCTCAGTGTATCCATCTCCAGAGACTCTCCTGAGTGAGGAGTAATTTGTAGCCTGGTAGGTGGAGGAGACTTTACAGCCTCTTAGTTTTGGCAAGTGCATCCTTTGCACTTATTTTCAACACTCCTTGCAGATTTTTTCCTTTAGCACTTCATAAACACTAACAGATATTAATCTCTCCACTCAAATAAAATATTTCACAAAGATATTAATTGTTTCTCCCCTTTTATACAACAGATAATAAGCTCTGGGTTTAGGGTTAGTAATAGGAGGTCAATGGGAAATCTAAGTGCTGTGCTTAGTTCTGATGTGCTGTAACACAGTGCCTATAAGACAGGTCTGCCTCTTTTTATTCTGATTAGCTTTTTAATCTACTGCAATCTCCCTTTTTTCAAAATCTGTCATCATCCTTCCATCTTACTGTGAAATAGAGCTGGCCTAGAAAATGTCAATGCTTTCCCACTGGAAAATGGTCTTTCTTAAATAAGAATTTAAAGCAAAATGACAAATTCAGAAGAAGTAAAAAGAGCTGGAAAAAAACAAACAAACAAAAGAAAAAGAGACACCTGAAGAAATTACCTTCTTCAAGAGCTAAGGCAGAAAACTGTGATTCCTCAGCAATCTACCTGTAAGATTTTTGTCCATAGTTCCTCTTGAGACTAAATGAAATTGATAAAAATCTTCAGTGGAGGCCGTGAGTGGCATCATGCTTCCTATTTCAGATATTTCCATTTCCCTAGGCTCATGCCATAATTAATTGAGAGAGACAACCTCTCGAAACACATAAATTACGCTCTGTCTCTGAACTGCTCTCAGAAGGAATTGTTTTTTCTCAAAAAAAGAGAAGTTGTAACTCCTAATTTCAGAGGGTCCGTGCATTCATCTGCCGTGGGGTCCTCAGAGACATCAGCTTTTCTGCATCATTCTTCCTAGCACAATTCTGACTGACTGCTTGTAATTTAAACTCTTGTCTCATTAAAGTAAAACTAAGCTTCTTGTGTGAAAGTTCCATGTTGGGGGTGGGAATGCAATATTTTCTTTTGCAAGTTTACACTAGGAGGGTCCTCAGAGCAGGTACAGCAAACTCAGCTCTGCTTCTGAGTATGCTGAATGCTTGGTCAGCCCAGTTTCACTTACCATATTGTGCATTTGCACAGCAGCTCTTGACGTGAAGAATTATTCCTGGTGCACTCAGTTTTTTAGTGGTAAAGTAAAAATAGAGTATCTGAAGTGGAATTAGATTACATGACACCTCGATTTAACTGATGCTGTCGGGTTTGCAGAGCTGGCATATCAAAAGGCGCTGCTTAAACAGATAATTAAGTAACATACGTGAAAATTTTTCAGCACCTCAATAGCTTTTCCTTAGAAAATATAAGTGCATATTATCATTAATTCAACTCTCAGTCAACCTAAACTTACTGTTTCTGAATGTCAAACTGCTATATTTTTGACAATGTTATTAAGGGCCTCCATAATTCTTTTATTCTTCCCTTAAAACTAAACCATGGAGCTTATAAAGTAAAAAAAGGATGCTGCTTATGTGGGTGCAGGGTGTGGGTACAGGGTGTAGGTACAGGGTCTGGACTGCTTGCTGAACAGGCAGGAGGCCTCTGTTTCCCACTTTTTGGTACTGTAGTCTAAATTGTGTTTGAAGGGAAGCAGTTTGTACGGAGCTTCCAGGATCCCGTCTTATGTGGTAATTGGTGCTCTCGTCCTTTGTTACTAAATAACTACCCTGCACTGCCTCTGTTTTTCTTCTCTCCTCGAAACAGGACCAGGTGTTCCAGTTGTTAGTGTGCACAGTACAAGTAATACCGCAAGTGAGTATTCCTTATGAAATAGTTAAATTTTGTTATCGTCCCTGATTGTTTTGGAGAGTCTGGGAGAGGGGAAAGGCCATGACAAGTATCTGAACACTAAAAGATGGCTTGTTCATATAAAGTTCTATTAATCACCTCTTAGCAGCATCCACATCAGCAAATGATAGGGAAAGAAGTTAATCAAAGGACTGAATCTTTCCCAGGCTTTTCAGATATGTTTTATGCTAAATGCATATGACTCATCTTCTGTTTACACTTGAGTAAATTAGGTGGCAGGTTCATCTTCATCCTCTTCACTTTGTATGTAAATCATGCTGTCATTACAGTACAACTTTTGTATTTTTAGAGATATTTTTAAAGTTACAGTCCAATAATGTTGAAGTAAGGTACAGTCCTTGGACAATTGTTCATAAAAGCTGACCTACGTCAGTCCTTATCTTATATTTCTCAAATCAGAACAACTCCACTGACATTTTCAGTTAAGACTTTTTAGGGGGATATTCCATACCTCTATTTGCAAGTTTTATACATTATTTTCTGTATATTGACACCAAATCTCTTGCTGTTTCGTGGCTGCTTGAGGTGCTTTGTAACAGAAGACTGTCCTTCAGCAGTAGATTTTTTCCCCCCCTAGGTATTCCTGTGGTGCAGCAGAGGTGACAGCTTTGCTACCTCCAACTCCACTGTGACCCACTATCATGAAGGTGTGGATTACAGGAATGGGGAACTTTATGGCGCTTTTTTTTTATTTATTTTTTCAATGTCATATTTTTGCAAAGCTCAGGGCCATAACACACTGAAGGCACGGAGTTCTGTCCAGCTCAATAAGGTGCAGCTACTGCTCAAAGCAAATTCATCGACTTCTGTAGAGCTCCTCAATCCTGTGAAGGCAGACTTTCACTCCTTATTACTGGCATCTAAAATCCTGTTGGTAGTGAAATACTGAAATAGAGATTTCTGTGCAACATCACAGAATAAGGCAAAGCAAGTCAAGATAGAGGGACATTGTTTCTTGTAACAACAAGAAGCCAAATAATAAGAGATATAGTTTACATTAATGTTTTAGTGCAAGATTAGATTATCCTCTTCAACTCATAAAAGAATGATTAATGACTACTTCAGTTATTCCATCCCCAGACTATAATTATTCCATTTTGGTTGACTGCCCAGAACAAACATTCTCCTTAGATTATCCAGTTTTGGCCCTAAGCAAAGAGTTCATTATTTAATTAAAGAAATCTAAATTTTGGAAGCAAGATCTGTAATTTGAGTAAAAATAAACAAACAAACAAAAAGGAGAACAAATTACTCGTCATTCTTTCATGTGTAAAAGGATCTCTTCAAATGTATCTGCAGCTTTAAACCAAACTGATGTCCTATTGTTGGCTGAAGTGCAGAAGACACATAAGGACATGCAGTGACCACATAGAGCTGTGCTGGCTAAATACTGCCCTGGAATAGGTAGCTTGAAAAGGATGCCTACACGAGGCTTAGGATATTGCCCAGCAGAGTAGCCTTTTTCTGTAACAGCCCCTGTTAGTATTTATCAGAGATACTGGTTTTCATTTGGCCATCAGCAATTTCATTGCTTAGTGAAAGCAAAGCCTGCTGAAGCCAGAAAATGGACTAGATGTATATCTTTTGAATTAGATGTTTACTCAGCTCCTGAATTGTAAAGTAGTTGCATTATAAAAAAAAAGCATTTACAGAAGGTATTCATTTACAGGATTTATCATTGCACATTTGTCTCTTTTTCTTTAATTTTTTTGAATCTTGATTTATGTCTGCTGCTATGTCTGATGCCTTTCAACATGCTTTTTCTTCCTGTTTCTAGAGTTTTATATTTTGGAAAATAATGCTGTGTTGAAGGAAGCTGTTTTTAAGAAAAAGAATTACAAGACTGAAATCAAAATGCTTCACATTGAGGATTACGGTAAATCTGGCAAAATGTTATTTTAGCAAACCAAAAGCTTTCTTACAATGTCACTGTTTTTCATCTGTGTAACTACCAGCCTTTAATGTTTTTCTCTTTTCTTAAAAGAATTCCCTTTACAGTTGTCACTGCCAAAAGATTTCACAGATCGAAACCAGTATGCCCTTCTATTAATAATGTAAGTATCTGAGTCACTGAAAATAATAATAAAAAAGTACATAATAGAAAACATTTAACTCTTTAATTAGAAAATGATTTATTCTTTACCTTGTGTAGGAAAATTGCCTCATGTATTTGAGTTAATAAATCAAAAGGCTCGTTCTTGAGAAGACTTTATGGTAGGTGCTGCCTGGTAGATATGCCTGGGGTTTTTTTCAGCTCCTCAAACCTAACTCTGCTTCTCTGTACTTTTATGTACATGAGGCACTGGCACTTCTGATGGTGTAGCTGTGAGTAGTTCTGCAGTCTTCCCTGGACCCATACTGATCCTACCCACAGAGTATCTCATTCAGAGCATGTGCTCCTTTTTATCCCTGCTAGAAACAGGTAGAGCTTCTGAGAGGGGCTCAGTTAAGATGCATAAAGCAAAAAAACTGCTTTTAGGAGCACTGGAAAGAAGAAAAAAATATTTTTGAGCATCAATGGCTGAAGGCATTATAGGCATGATCCAAAGTCTGTTGATGTTTGTAGAAAACCTCTATGGGAGGAAGGTGGTACTCCCTGGCAACCTGTCCTGCTCCATAAAAAAGAAATAGGGTGCATGTTTCTTGCAGAGACAGTCAGACTTTAAGTTACATGTCTACACAGTGTGAGCAGAGGAAAAGAGCAGAGTCATGAGCATACCTGCAGCCTACCTGGGAAAACTGGTGATGGCCAGCTCAGGGCACCACTTCTTTCTCTCCACCTGATCTCAGCATGGGTGTAGAGGGCTTTCCTGTACCTGCAGATCTTCTTCCAGTCCCATCTGGAAGGAGTTGATGTGAATTTCAGTAACAGAGGTGTAGGAATGCACTGCTAAATTGATGAAAATGCCATGTTACTGAGCTGTTATCACCTGCAGCAGACCTGCCCTTAATGACAGCGGAGATCCTTATTGTTGGTGTGAGGTCAAATTTACAAGCTTGAGCTCCTGAATGATCCCAAATTCCTCTACTCAGATCAGATCTTAGATAATAGGACAGAGTGGCATAAAGCTGCTATTTCTAAGCCCATTTTGTGTTTAAAAATTCAGATATTTCAGGTTGCATTTATCTGAAGTTGTGGAGACTCTCTGCTTTAATTGGTTCATGAGCATGTTTTTCTTTTCTTGTGGAGAAACATGACACATTGATATTATTTCATCTTTGCAGTGTTTGCTAGCATGATCTTGGAAGCATGATTATATTTTAAGCAGCTCTTATAAGTGTTCCAAAGGCAAACAGACTCTGTGAATTGACCCCAGCAGTACTGCAGGGACTTGAAAACATTTGTGCTTATTCCTTTTTCTGAGAGTAAGGAAACACTACGGTGTTGGCAGTCTAATCCTTCCCTTTTTAAGTATCCTAGTAAATACATAATCTGCCATATAGAGGTATGGTAAAATATGAGGTTTTATACTCATGTAGAACTACAGAATACAGAAGGGAAGGATCAGAAAACTGAGAAGTCCAACGTCAAAAATTACAGGAAAACGAAAATAGAAAAGCTAAGGAAATACTATTTTTAAATGTATTTTGATATCGAGTGGTGAAAGAACTGAGAACAGTATTGAGGCAAGGTTTAAATTTAAACTAAACAAAGTTGTGGGTACCCAATAAGTGAATAATGTGAGCAACTCATAATGTGTGGATATGTTTTCTAATTGTTTTATTTTTTTTATTATGGGCATGTTGGATAAAAAGGAAATTCATCAACTTATGAATACGGATTGTTGTATCTACATTTACAGCATGGAGACTTTGCTTCTTTTCAGTCAAATACCTTTGCAATATCAAATTCTCAATGTTAGCTTTAGCAGGAGTTAGTTTTAGAAAACTTTGTACAGTAATGAAAGTATGAAACTGGAAATTTGAAATCTGTCCTGTCTCATGTTATGCAGCGTATTTTGTGTCCTCCTATTCCCTAGAAGAGAAAGCAGTTATATTTCTTCTACAGCTTTTTACAGACTTTAAACTAAGGTTGCCAGCAGTCCCTTTTTCTATTAAAGAGGTCCCCAAATGAAATATAAAACTGAAAACTGTCACTGAAGTTATGGGAAGTTCCCTTGTGGGATGATTATTTGAGTCTAGTAAATTCTGCCTAGCGCTTGAGAAAGAACGATTGGATATCTGTGGGTATGTAGGGGGTAATTTCTTGACCCACATGGCTCCAAATTGATGTCTTAATGTTTATTTCATGATCAGAAATACTACCAAAAAAAAAAAAAAAATATTCAGGTCCAAGGGGAACATGTAGCTTTTATAGGGAACATTAGTTGTATAGATGGTATAATTTCCCAGATATTTGACTTTCCTGGGTCCCAGAGTGGTACTGTTGGAACTGATTGAGAGACCTGCTGTTCCTACTGCTAGAAGGGTTAGACAAGAATTAGTGGCTGATAACAAGTGCTGCCTTTCATATTATTCAGCTGCACCTACTTTCTTTCTTTCATTTCCAGTCATAATACAATTATCATTATAATACATCTGCTGAAAGTTTGAAAAAGAATGCTTACCAGTGTCTCTGTAAGAGTGTTGGTTTAATTGTATGTCCATTTTTTGGAGAGGAGATTCTATATAACATCTTGATCCAGACAACATGCACTTAGATATATATAAAGAGAAGATATACATCTGAAAAAGTGGAGTATTAGCAGATAAGAGGTGGGTTTTACTTTCCACCTCAGTAGCAGGGCACTTTGACCAGAGCTTAAGAAGGGAGGGAGGGAGGGAAAGAGGGAAGGAGGAGAGAGGAGGAAAAGACAATGTGATTTTAAACCTGAAATTCATGTAATAGGTCTTTGCAGTGCAAATTAAGTGTTTAGTTAAGTGCTTATAAGTTTCTAAGTGTATGTAGGTGTTGTCCCCTTTGTCCCCTAGCTGGAGGGTAGATGTGGCATGTAAGATCTAACATGCTGTTTGGCTGAAGTCACTGCTCCAGAGTCACTCCAAGACTCTGGTGAAAAGTGATCTTTCCTGTGTCACATTTTGCCAGAGTCTGTTTTATCTGTGTGGTCTTGTCTCTGCAGAACTTTTGTGCTGGTGGCTGGTTTCACTGGCTCAGAATGAAGTGGGTTTTTGATGAGTGAGGTTCATAATGTTACTGTAAATTTTCATCACCAGTGACTACTTTTGTATGGTGTTAATGTGCTCTCTGGATCAATAGGGTTACAACAGCATTAACAGAATTTGGAAATAGGTAAAGTGGAGGAAGTTTGGGTTTATCTGGTTTGGGGTTTTTTCGGAGTACTGAAAGCTAGTAGCCATTTCAAAGGTGCATGACTATAATAGGGCTCCTGTATTCATGCAAGGATGAACACAGGTAAATTTCAACCTCCAGCACATGGTCCTTGTTGTGCCTGAATGTTAAGGCTGAATCCAGTCACTAATCTCCTCCTGGTGTGAAACCTGGATATGAACTAGGTACAGTTCCTTGCAGACACAACCTCAAGTTAAGAACCAGGCCCTGAATATCCTGTAATCTTCATCACAGGGATTTTGTGAACATTCATCCATTAACAGTTGCAAAGTGTTCTGCAATGGTCAAATAGTAGATTTTTGTATTGCTGTGTTAAAGTTTATGTCCATAAAGTTTATGTCCATCTGCATGGCTGGACTATCTAACACATAGTTCTTGTGTAGAAACCAGTTATGTGAGGCAGCACTGTCTTTCTTTCCAGAATTGTGATGCGTAGCCCATAAAATCTTGAAAGATTAAAATGCTTTCCTTTTTTTTTTCATTTGTTCTCCTAAACCACTAATACATTTCACACTCAGTTTCCTTCTGATATAATGCATACACTGTAGCTATAGATTAGAGGGCTCTACAGTAATTGCCTGAAAGAGTGATTATCATCTTTTTTCTATATAATTAAGATCAAAGTTTAAATTTCAGATGCTTGATTTTCTCATTATGGTTCACCTTACTCATTAAAAAAGTTGGAAGATACACTTCTTGGTAACACACAGGAAATGATTAAGTAAAGACATTTAATCTGGGTAATAAAATCAGAGTAGATAATCATTCTTTATTTTGCCTTGAACATAATTAACCTCATTTCTTCAAATCTGTAGATGATGTATCTTAAATGTCAGTATGTATTATTTAGCGCCATTTAAAATTGTCCAATATTGTGGATATTGTAAAACTGAATCAGTGGAAAGCTTGTTCTGATATCTGAGGGGAAAAAGACCCAGGTATTCTCCAATGTAACAGTGAATTGTCTCCAAGAGGTTTCTTTTTGTTTGTTTGTTTACTTGTTTTCTTATATATTGGTTATAAACAGGAATTGGTTTGCCTGTTGTTGAAATTAGGAAAGTTTTAGGCCTTCCACAGGCAATCAAACCTGTTTATGCCTCCAGCGAATACACTCTCGGGACTGATTGCAAGATAAGACAATAGGGTTTGAAGTGAATTTTTTTTGCAGCTTTGAGAACAAGTCATTAAAGGCTAGAAGAAATATAGGCAGGCTTAATGCAAGTGTTGGGAAACATTCAAGATCTGAGGTATGGTAACACTACCAATTAATAGCTGTCTTGTGTACCTTTCTCTTGTTGTAAAGGATATTGTTCATTTTAACTGGCAGCTGTTGCAAGAGAAGGAACAATGCTTGGCTGCATGGTGAAGTATAAAAATATTTTGTGAAAACTTTACTTTTTAGGGGATCCCTAAGTCAGGTGAATAATTCATGAATTGCCAGCTATCCATTTCATGCCTGTATTCATCCTGCCTCTGCAGAGCATGCCAGTATTTCACTGATCTTTTGTGTTTCTGTTACATCAAAGTATTTGATGAACAGTCTTTTCTTTTTTACTCTTTTAGATTTTCTTCCCCATTCTTTGAACTTTGTAATAATTCTCAAAGCCTAGAGGGAGGATTCATTTAGTTTGGTTTAAAGGAGAAATAGACTGGAGGCTCATTCCAACTGTTTCATGGGCAGTAGCAGTCCTGGTGCTGTGGGCAGTGATGATCTGTTCACTCCCTTTCTCTTCAGTCTTGTCCATGCAAAAGTCTTGGGGAATCATTGAGCTAAGATCCATCTTCTTTCAGCTTTCCCTATTTCCTCTTCCCCTACAGCAGTATATATCTTGCTAGGTGAATAAAATGCTCATTTAATCTTCCATAGCAAAAAAAGGCAAGAGGAGATTCAAAACTTCACCTCCTTTTCCTATGACACAGGACAGGGTTACATCTCTTGTTCTCAAAATTGTATTTTTAAAGTCTTCAGCCTTAAGGGTTTCAAAAAGATGTTTTAAGATGTTTTAAGAATAAAAGCTTTATTTTTCATACTATCCTCTCTGCTTTACTACGCTCTCTGCTTTGGTCCTGCCTCTTGCATGTTTTCTACCCTCATAATGGAATCTCTTCTGGTCAGGTCTTTTAATTTCTTTAGCCATGTCTCAGGCAGGAGTTGTAAACATGATCTGTCTTTAGTTGTAGTCTGCTATATCTAAACAGGGCATATGAAAAGAAAGAAAGCATTTGGGATTTTTTGTTCTCGATGTTTGAGACTATTCAAGTTACCTGATTTTTGACCAGTAATGGTGTATGTGCTTGGAAGATGATGCTTGTGGAAGAGATGCTTGTAAAATCTGAAAATGAAGTGGATCTTTCTATTATTTGCACCAGTTTTGCAAAATGATCTTTCCCCACTCAGTTTCACCATAAATAAAATATGACTTTTATCAATTACATTTCTTTACATAGATTTTATTCTTTCAGTTGCAGTCTTTCTCACATATTTTCTGTCAAGTTATCTTTTCCATATGCTGCATCAAATCCACTGGTTTTGCAGAAATAGAAAGAAATGTACTGGATATTAAGCAGTGATGACAGCAGTTATTTGGCATGCATCTTTTAAAATTGTCTTCCGTCCTACTTGGTCAGTCCTATAAATTCTAAAATCCCAATTCAAAATCTCGTCAGTTAGCTTTTAAATGGTGCAAAATGTGGAACAAATTTGGCTGCAGTCATGATAGCAGAGTGGCAGAGGAGTGTTGCACAGAGTACAGCACAACAGTGGTAGCCTCTCTGCTAACACTGCATTATTCCCTGTAGGTTGGAACTCAAATCATGAACAGAGACTTTAGTTTAAGCTTTTGGCTATAGAATTTGAAAGAACAGGTTCCTCTCTTTTCAGCAATCTATGAACTTATAATGAGCTACCCCTTTTACCAGGCAGCCTTGCAAGAAGCATACAAATTACCCACTGAGATCAACGATATTGGTATATTATTAATGGCTTCTGTCTGTTTAAATGGTGCCTCGGTGGTGAGCTCCAGCAGTGTGCCCCAGCCATCAGCATTTGTGCTGCCACAGTGGACTCCTGGTCCGAGTGCAGTTGCTGTTGGAGATGCACACTGGGCAGCTCTGAACCTTGAAACTCCGGGGAAAAAAAGTAAAAAGGGGAAAGTGCAAGTGCTGTCACTTACAAGCAAGAAAAATGAATCAGGAGAAACAAGGCATAGTCTTCATTTGGATCATTCTGCTCTTGTTTGACTCTGGAGATGATTGTCCTTAAGGAACTCTTGAGGGATGTTGAAGAGCCTGTAGCTTTTCTTTGCCCTTTTGGTGTTGGCTTTGATTTGGCTACAGTGCTTTGGCTAGTCCGTGATTTTCTTAGGACCATCCATAGTCAGGTGGGAAGAAGACTTCTGTGTTTGTATTACACCTTAGCGTAAATGGCACAGCCCTTCTTGCAGTCTCGCTAGTGGGGTCAAGAACTAATTCTCTGACGAGTGTACCACTGAACAGCAGTTAATTATAATTAGGCTTTGAATGGTGATAGAGCATAAAACCAAACCTGAACTTTGAGACAACTCTAAACCCAGGACAAACTACTGAAATCAGACTGTCCATCAGTATCAATCTTACTTTGTTACAGAGCCCTCAGGATGATGTTCAGACTTGCATAAAGAATTAATACCTTGCAGAAGCCCCATTTGAAAGGTTAGCAATGGGGTCTAAATGGTGCATAGAATATATGTTGTCTCTCTGTGGAAGACAGAAGCACACCTCGGATAATCAGCATCATTTTGTAGTAGCAGCTGAAGAGTAAAGAGACCTCTTGGTGCTAATGGGAATTTTGATATGTACCTCAATGGAAATAGCTTTAAATGCCTGTCACAGGCTACTTATATGGACATTCTTGAAATAAACTAGCCACTGGAAAATTGCTTCCAAAAGCAATATGTCAAACAACCCATCATGCAGGACTGGAACATATATGGTGTTTAAAGTCTAAACCTGAAAGTAGCCCAGCTTTGCCCTCCAAAATGGAGCTTGGGAAACCATCACTGTCAGTTCTCACCCACTGAGAATCCTGCTGAGGCTCTGTTTGTTGTTCCTTTCTTAACAGAAGAAATTCTCTGCGGGTATCATTTTTTATTTGAAACACCTTTTGGTTTTAAGCACTTTCTGGTTTAGAGAAAGGGTTACAAATGTAATGGTTTTTCTCCTATTTGTAAGTGTCTAGACATATGGCATATAACATATATAGATATAGAACCTAGATATATAATGTGTATAAAACAAATTAGTTTTAGTCTAGTATATTAGTTTTGTTCATATATTAGATGGAAGGGAAGCAGGCTGACTCATGATATTTTCACTTGTGTGGGGTGCATTAAGCTGTTGGAAAGTTACCTAGTCAAACATGAATATTTCTGACATTATCTTATTGTTGAAAGTTGGAAGAACTTAAAAGTAATTATATCTGGTCTGAGGCTGCTTGTATTGAAAGGAATGATAAATGCTTTGTGAAAACATCTGCATCAATGTATAGTGCTTCTGAAAACTTTCCTCTGTACAATAAGCAGAAATTGAAAGTATTGTTCTGCTTCTGATTGTAAATAATAATGATTATATACTTTCTGAATTGTGTCTTCTGCAGAGTTAACGTGACAGTATTTCCAAATATTGCTCTTTATCATAAACAGTTAAGTGTAATCACAAATTAATTGGTTAAGGAAACAAAAAAATGTCCATTCTTTCTTTTCTAAAACCAAATATAAGCCTGATGTACAAGATAATGGTAAATCAAGCATAACATATTGTGGATGAGTCCATAACCAAGTAATCCTGATTTCAGTACATGATATAGCAACTACATAGGTAGGTCTGACTGAATTTGAGAACATATGTGTTCATCATATGCTTGCTAATTAATTAGGTGATTACCTTGGAGACAGTCTGTTATCCACAGCCAAAACCAGATATTGAATCAGCATGTTATTGTACATGTAAGACAGTAGTTACTGCAGGATATTTTTATCTCTCTTTCCTCCCCCAGGTTTACATAAGTCTCTTTGGCAAAATAATAATTTCTGTCTTCATCTTTCTTTCACCTTAGACAGGATATTCCCACAGACCATCCAATCTAATTTCCATACAGCCAGCACAGACACTTTTACATTTTAATTTGCAGTCAACTGGCAGATGTAGCCTGCACAGAACAATTTCATATTTTGTACAACTTCATGGTAGCCTGCTCTTTTATTCTGTGTTTATCTTGGGGGAAAAATAATGACAAGCATCCCTTTTAAAACTGACATTTTATTTTCTTTGTAAGGAAAACAGTATATTTGGCTTCAATGGCAAATCTTATTGTTCCTCTAGAAAATGCATTCTCCCATTCTATTCCACCTTTTCTGATGTAAAACACCTTTTTTTTTTTATGTAATAAAATAAACTTATCACTCCTGCCTGCATCCATTTCTTGCTATGAATTTGGATGGAGAAAATATAATTTTCTCCAGTGTATATTTCAGTCGTCTTTTTACTCTGTTTCAAAAAATCCATTCAAGGGTACAATAATGCAATTATTTTTGTTTTCTAAGATAACATACTTCTTAATAGTATTATATATCCTACAAATGGTAATCAGGGTACAAAATAAATTCTCCTTTTTGTGTGTTTAGTGCAGCTTAACCAATTTTGCATGACCCTTCTCAGAACTGAGCCATTAGTGATTATGTGTTGGTTTTTTTCACTGTGTTATAAGCAGCACTAGTTTTCTGTTTCTTTCAACAAAGTATATTCAGGTATTGGCAGCACTGCGGCATAGTGGTTATGTGGTTAAAGAAATTATTTTGTTTGCTGCTGCTGCAGGGATAGCAGCACTAGCTAATGGGATGGTATCGATGGAAGTGACAGTAATTCAGCAGGATTGCATAACCGACTGAACTCTGCCATCTAGGCTGAATAAAATATCGGAGATCGGCACAGTGCATCACATTGTCAATAGTCTTCGTTTGTGTCTGGTGTGTTGGTATTTGCAGTGATGAAGCTCCAGGCAGCCAGTTGGTTACAGATAAGTTTCACATTGACTGGGACTCAGTGCTTGTCAACTCTGATAATGTCATCGTAGCTCGATTTGATGGCAGAGGGAGTGGATTTCAAGGCCTCAAGATTCTACAGGAGGTCCATCGATGCTTAGGATCAGTGGAAGTGAAGGACCAAATAGCAGCTGTAGAGTACGTATGTGCAAACTTTTCTTCTTTTTTACCCTTCTTACACCTTGATGAACGAGCATTTTCAGCTGAAACTGCCCAGAATGTTTTCTTTGCATATGTAAATGTTGTTCATATTTATTATAATGCCGTTTCAAATTTTTAAGCAATGATGTTTTCATTGCAAACAACAAATAGGAGATCAAAGAGGTGCATTTTTGTGTTGGTGCTTCTCTTTGATAAAGCTGACCCTGCTCTGTGCAATCTAAATATGCCATCTGAGCTAATTTGTTTTTGTCTATATCCCTTAGGAACAATTCTTGTTGTACATGTGTTAATGGTTAAATGCATTTGTGTTACAGTATTTTAGGCCTATATGATCGGATACTGCTCTCATTTTCACTACAGAGATCTGGAGTAACAGCACAAAGCAAAGAGTGTTATAATGGTGTAATGAGAGCAAAATTTGGGCAAATGCCTCTTACTTCTCATTTACATTATCACTGTTAAACTGATATAAATCCACCAGCTGCAGACAAGAGTAATGTCCATCTATGAAGTAATCACATATAGCTTTGACAATACTCTTTACTCAGGGGCCACTTGTCTAAATGGCAAATACCAAGGTCTGGACGGACTTTTTGTAGGGTTTCCCAGGGAAAGACAGATGTAAGGCCAGATATTTTCATCTTCTTCTTTTGAAAGTGGTTGATGCTTTAACCATGGCATGAGTAGGCAGCTGTGTCTGCTGCCTGGGCAATAGGGCTCCTGGTGTTCACTTTGGTCAGGAATGGGCTGCACTGAGCAGAGCAATTCAAGGTGACCCTCCTGGAAGGGCAATTGGAAGCAGCCCACACAGTCTGCTGTGATACCTGATCTCCCTGCTCAAATCCCAGTATGTTTTAGGCTAAATTTAATCTGGCCCCTCTTGGGATGCACTGCAAGGGAAAAAGGAAGGGTGCCCCTGGCTGATAGGAGGTGCTGCAGCTGGTTTTGTCTCCTCAAAAGCTAGTTGGATTTTTCCTCTCAGGTTATTCTATCCTTTCTGTAAAAAATTCACCATAGCTGGTTAATGGCCTTGATGAGAGAATTAATTATTTATTTAATTATCTAGATTCAAGAAGCAAGAAGTTCCATTCATCTTACCTTCCTTCAGCTGTCAAAACGCTGGTCAAAGCCAGCCATTTAAGCTCTGGTTAGTGGAAAATCCTGGCATTTCTGGAGGGTTATTCTCCCCAGAATGAGAGAGGTTTCCAACATGGTTGGGAAAGAATGGCTGTTCTCACAGTGTCTCTCTTCTGTCCTTTAAATGAAAAGCAGATGTAAATGGGTAATTTAGACAAGATGCTGAAATTCAGGTATCTAAATTAGATGAGATGAGCCTAACACCAACTGTTTGTCATATAGAGAAGGAACTAGGAAGCAAATCACATTTCACAGTGCAGTACTACTTGTATGGATGTAATTTGTTCTTCTACCTGACCTGCATGTATGATGAATCCTTACTGTACAAATAATTTTCTTTAAAGAGTATATTCAGCAAGTAAAATTCACCATTTTACTTTACCAAAGTAAAAAAAAAAAAACCACCAAAAACAACAAATTTTTTTCTTTCAGATCACTATTGAAACAACCCTTCATTGATCCTAAGAGACTGAGTATATTTGGAAAGGTAATGTGCAAAAATAGCAGCTTATATCATCATAATTCTTTAAGAAAATAGTGTCAGATCAAAGAGGGGGGAAACCTCCCATAATTTCCTGTCTGTTCTATATATTGTCTTTTTCTCAGAATAGGTATTTAATTCAATAGCATGAGTTTTATAGTACAGCAGTATTTCTGCTTCAGAATCTGAAGGAGAAAATATTTGTTAAAAAATCTGCTTTCTTTAGAAATTTTTTATGTGGGCTTGGTTTTTGTGAAAGCTTGTTTCTTAAAGTTTTATATTTGGGCTGAATTTAAATTGGCAAAGCCACCCTAACCCAGCTTTTAATTTGAATGTTTTACTGACCCTTGAGCTCAGCCGAGTAACAACCCTGTGGTGCTGTCAACAACTTTCTTGTTGCACCAGTGAGAAGTCTTGCCTTTGCTATTTTATCAGCTGTCTTTGCTGTGTGGCCTGTCATTGCCCTTAGCATGAGGTAGAACGAGGCAAAGGCTTAACTTTTAGTAGCAAACTAAGTAGCATTTCACTGACATCTGTTAAAAAGCAGCCACTAGAAACACCGCCCAACTGCTGCTTCATCTCTGAGCTGGTATGTGCAACCTCTTAATTTTTTAAAAGTTTTTTGATAAAAATGAAGCTGTTTTGTGCCTTTGAGCTCAAAGCAATAACAAACCATGATCAAGCACCCCCCCCACAATCATCAGTTATACGAGCAGCATGCATTTCACTATGAAATGCCTTAGTTCTCATCCCCACGCTGCTACTGACTTGCTGCATGGCTGCGGGCAGGTCATTTAACCTGCTTGTCTCAGTCTGTCTGAATGCAGGATGAGGATATTGACATTTACCTCCTGCGTGGCAGCATTTTGGGGACTGGCTAATGTTTGTGGCTGTTATTAGCATTTCACATGAACATGACCTTCCTCAAAGATCTGAGCTCCTGCCACACTCCTTGGAGCTAAAGAAACTGTTACTGCAAGAATTTCAGGAGGCAGGATTTGGTTTGGAGGGTGGCAACCAGAGATTTTTAAACTGAGGCTTTATAAACTGGGTTGATTTAATCCATCAGAAGATTGTGGCCACGTTTCTCTTCAGGTTTTAATATCTGTTATGAAGGTATATGAAAGTGCATATGCATAGAAATATCAACATTTCTCCATATCCTCTTCCCAAATGATTAAAAATACTGTTTCTGAAATGATATCACTAAGGACCCTGAATTGCTCACTTGTTTCTGACTTCAGAAATTATTTCCAATGCTACTTGAAAATTCCCACTTGTTTTCTGTCAGAGATTCAGCAGTATCCTGTTTCCTAAAGAGTGATGTAATGAGACAGTTGCCACAAAGCATACACATAACTATGGCTTTACATATCTGCCAAGACCTACCCCTGATGTTTTTTTTCTTTCACAAAATATTATTGATGACCATGCTCCTGTGCTTATTTTCTGATAGAAGTATTGGGGAATGAAGAGTGGAAATGTGAGAAAGCAAAGAGCAAAAACTCAGAAATTTGATAAACTTTCAACACTGCTTTGAAGTCAGGGAAATATCCCCTTTCCAAGTTAACCTTTCAGGGTTGTTTTGTACTGTCAAACAAAAATTCATAAAATTTAAAAGTCAGTTTTAGAATTAATTAAAAAAATCTATTTAACAGCTTCCTAGGGTTAATTGTATTTTCCTCTTCTCTGCTTGTTTTAGAGTCAATTAAAAATCGATTTTAAAACTCATTTACTTTTTACTATGTACAGTGTGATAGGGAAAATATTTTTTTTTTCTATGCATTAAATTTGCCTTACTGATGGAAACAGAATATGCACTTTGCTTGAAAATAAGATGCCTGGAATTGTTTAATGTTGATCTCATAAAACTGGACTCATACACACTGTCAGGCAGCTTTTTAAGAGGTTCCAGAACTACACAGAAGTAAAGTCCTTGTCAAAATCAGTGATGCAAATGAGGCACAAGAGTAACAAGACTGTCCCGAAGGGCACAGTGTGGAAAATACCTACTTCTGACTGCCCCATTGCTTACCTCTATGAGGGTTGCAAGCCCAAGTGATACATTATCCAAGGGCCTTTCTGAACTGTTAGACAGCAAATTTTGGTTCCATGTACTTTGTGGATTTATTCATGGAAGTGAAAAGCGAATTTAAAAATGAGTTGCAATTCCAGAGCCAACATCCTTCTTAAAAATACGGTGATTAGGTTACACCCACAGAAACCCAGCCAATGAGTGGTGCACCACATTTCTTGCACCAGGACGTGTGGACTGTTTTCTGCATTGTCATTGTGAAATGCTTCGGAAAATGTGATATCACTCTCCAGTGTTTTTGTCCTGGAAAGCCTGGCTGGAAGCAAGGGCACAAGCACAAAGGAAAGAAATTCCCAGGAGAACTAAGCAAACTCTTAGTGAAAACATGGCATAAATAATAAATAACCTGGCAATACCTATTCTAGAACTAAAACTGTGCTGTTGGGAAAGACACAGAATATTAAACAAAAGTAAAAGAAGAGAAAACCCAGAGGCAGAGAAAAGTTGCTGTCCTCTTAAACTCTTTGAATTATACAAATTACTGTTGCCCGCTCAGAAATTCTTTCTTAGGTGAAATTTACTCCTGCACATGGACAGATCCAGGCACCTCTTTTCCTCCTGGGCTGGAGTTTCCATGGGAAAGGAATAAGTCAGTTCTTCACACTCCCTTGAAAACTCAGCACTCGTTTTGTATTTCCTTCAGCGTGTCCATTCACACGTACTGTGGATTGGTTCCAAAGAATGTTTATCTCTGCTTATTTTTTCTTAAATAAGGTTAAAGGATTTTCAAATATTCCCATTCTTCCATAGAAATCATCTATTCATTAATTATTTAGTCATGAGGAACAGGCAGCATTCATAAAAGTCCATGAGAAAACTTTAACCATTTGATGCATAATATTCTTTTTTTGGTGTCAGCTGGTGTTTTGTATTTCGTTTTCCCTGATATGGGATAATTTTTTCTTTCTGAAATGTTTTGTGCCAACACAAAACAACTACAACAAAAAAAAAAACCTGAAAAAAATCAACTTTTCAGCACTGATGAAGGGAAAACAAAAATGACAAATAGAGAAATTGGAAGAGCCCATAATATATGAGAAAATCATTGATCCCAGATGCCACAATTCAGAATTTCATTTTCTGTGGATCTAGAGTGATTACAGGTATACAGAAATGGATTGCCAGTGTCATTCCAAGGAAAACTCTGGTCTCAAGTTAAAGCTTTCAGAAAGCTTTCATGACTCTTTGTGTCACAACTTTTCCTGGAAAGGTCTACTATAGACTTTGCAGGAGAGATGGTGAAGAAATAGGGACAGACAAACATGGTGAGGCAAGGACAGACCTCCCCAGTTCTGCACTATCTCTCTCAACTTCTTCATGCCCTCTGTGGTCCCTGCTTTGTAGCAAAGCAGCCTCATGGATGCTGTTGTGTCCAGAAAGGGCATCCAGAGATCAGCATAATACTGAACAATGTGCTTACATACAGCTCTTATTTCTGCAAAACAATGCAGGATCTGTATCTCTCTGTGGGATCTTTGACATGCAGAAACCTCTTTAATAGCAATTTAATATACAAAGGTTCAGGTGTCAGGAGGAGGACATAATGCACTCAATTCACAGGTTACCTCTGCTTTTCCTACTCTCTGTTCTGCCAGCAAAATGGTCAGTGTATCTTGCTACTTTGGAAGTATCTATATCAAACATATTAAAAACTGAGTACAAATCCTCCTGTTTAGGCTTTGTTCCACAAAACATCACCTTTGGGGTTTGCTTTGTAGGTTATTTTCTGTAGTTTTCAAATCAAGGAACTATAGGCTAGACTGTCATGATGGAATAGTGGAGCTTGAAGCAAAATACACTTGTCATTATTAATTGCATAGTTTAAAGATTATGACCAGGTCAATGTGATCTCCATTCACTCTTAAACTGAAGTTTTACATTTCCTTTAAAAACAATTCTTGCAGATATAGCTGCACACTGTAAAATGATACCATCACAGTAGCACAGTGGCCTTTATTTTGCTAAAGAGAAATAAATCACCAAAAATCTTTATCCCATTGTTAGGGATATGGTGGCTACATTACATCCATGATCCTGAAATCCAGTGAACGGCTCTTCAAGTGTGGAGCTGTGGTGGCACCAATCACAGACATGAAGTTATATGGTGAGTATTCCCTACCCTGCACCTCTGTGATAGTTTATTCAAAATGTCTTTTATTCTTGGAGGTGTTATTTATTTTAACTAAGGGCAGATAATGTAGCAACATCAATGAGATTTCACCTTACTGTCTCATTCTCTTCTTTAAATGGAAGTGAAGCTAACACTGGGACAGTTTACCATAGCACAGACCAGATACATTATAATTAACACTGCTGATTTTTTCAAAGGAATTGTTTCCTGTTCTCCACTGAAACTCATTTCCTAAGGACCCTTTAGGTATATCAGCATGAATCAAGACTTAAATGAGGAATGATTCTTTTAAGGTTAGCAGTCAATTCCCTACAATATCAACCATGTTTTCATTCAATCACAGGATATTTTGGTTATGTATATGAAGTTTAGGGCACAGGCTCTGGACTATGGTACATAGGAAATCAGGGCACATTCCTTTACTGGTCTGTTAAACTTTTCAGTGCATTTTGGTTTGGGTTTTGGTTTGGGTTTGAGGTTTTTTGTTATTGGTTGTGGGCTTGGGGTTTTTTTGGGAAGGGGCGTTGGTTGATTTTTGTTTGGTTTCTTTTTTTAACCATTTAAAAATGGTTTTCAGTGGTACAATAAAATGATACATTTTGGTTCTAAATGAATATCTCTGTTGACTTCATGGCTTAAATACCATCTCCTGACTCTAGGTCAATTTTTAAAGAGAAGTAACTTTGAATTCACAAGTTTTTGTTTTACTTATACAGCATCAGCTTTTTCAGAAAGATACCTTGGGATTCCATCAAAAGAGGAAATTACCTATCAGGTAAGTTAGCATAAAAATGTAACTTAAAATGACCATTTTACTCTCAAAATGCAACTCAGTTACACTTGTGTGTGTTTGTTTGCCAGGCATCCAGTGTATTACACAACCTTCATGGTTTAAAAGAAGCGAATTTGCTAATAGTTCATGGAACAGCTGATGGTAAGTATTTAGAGATGCAATTAATTGAGAGTCAGAACTTCTAATAGGCAGGCATTCAAGGACTGATGAAACTCACATCTAGAAAGTACATTTTCAGTTTTACTATCCCTCTGATAGGATTTTTTTCTTTTGCTTCAACTTCTAACTCTAAACTGGTGACATTTTTCTTTGATGAATATTTGCACCTTTTAGATGCTGTATGTTCTAATTTGTTTAAATCTTGAGGACCCCTGTCTTTCTAGTGAAAGGTATTACATGAATTATTAATAGAGCTACATACATTTTTAATGTTGTTTTAAATTCATAGAAATTCTGCAGAATTATCAGTACAGTTGGTGAAGTACATCACCACATGGAAAGCTAATCTTTTCAGCTAATTAATTACAAGGTAGTGTGAAAGCATCTGAAGCTGAAGCTATACATAACCTTTTAATAGCACTAATACTTTTAGCAGTAGTTTAAGACAGAAAACAGGTAGAACAGGGTAAGTTCTAACACTTTTAATGAAATCACAAGATGTGTCAAATGAGATAATTTGTAATTACAGATTTAAATTTAACTGCAATGTATTTTTTTGAACTTTCTTAACTGATTTAAGTCTGAAGAACAAGCTTTGATGCAGGCACAAATTACAGTGCTGCAACCAGCTCCTCTGAACAGATTCTCATGCCTACTTCTTTCCCCAGCATTCTTCTGGTGAATGTGGGATAAGAGAAGGTTTCTTACTCCTCATTCTGGAGGCATAAGTACCTCACAGTGATGGGCTGAGTTGAGAGCGCCCATGCACAGCTGGCACAGTGAGAATGGCACCTGCCAGCCTGTCACCCCGGTGTGAAGGCACCAAACCTTTGTTATGGATCCAAAGTGCAGTCAAAGGGGTACAAACACTGTCCAGTGTTTCTTCCCAGAGCACAGGGGAGAGGGGCTGAGAAGATATACTGGATGACTAAGCAGGCATGAGGGTCTCAGACTTTGCTGATTGTAACAGGCAGCAGCAATTTCTGCCCCTCTGAACTTGGTCCTGGCAGGAATTGGGACTTCAATAGGTATCTGAGCAATGCAGTGTGCTCAAGCCTGGGACTCTGATTGTCTGCAGCCCTTGTTTAATATCACATCCAGTGACACCACCCAGCCCACTTGCAGCCCAAGCCCTGCAGGGTTAGAACACATAATAAAGCTGCCTGGTTTCACTACACAAAGCTTAAGTTACTGATGGGGTGGAGAAACTCCATTTCCTTAAGAGGCATGGGCTGTAGTAACCCTGTGCAAGCAGTAGAAAATCCAATGTGCTTTCCTTCAACACAATTATAAAATGCCTAGGTGTTCAAACAGAATGGTTTTACACACCTCTAAACTATCGCAGTGGGTGTAAATGAATAGGAGCCCTCAGAGAGTACGTGGAAAGTATGGCTTCCCTTGAGGCTTCCAGCTCCTTCTCCAGAACCTCTGTTTTAACACCCTGTATTGCTGTTTCTGATGGGGCTGGGCACTTCTGACCTTAAAGATAGTCAGCTTCTGATCCAGTAATTACAGAGGTTGGAAATGTTTTCAGCCAAAGCTGTTTAGCAGATAAGTATTTCATATTAGTGTAGCTTTTTCTAATAATATCAAATCTTGTCTTGCAGCTAAAGTCCACTTCCAGCATTCAGCAGAACTAATTAAACATCTAATAAAAGCTGGGGCTAATTACACTATGCAGGTATGTGCACTGTGGCTTTTCCTGTAAACACAGTTGAACATTTAACCTCCTATTGCTATTTCTTCACTGAGAAGGACCCTCCCTACCACAATGCAGCAGCATTACCTCAATTTGCAGTTAGAAGTCTGTTTAATCCCGTTTTCCTCCCTGTTAGTATCGATGTCAAGAACTATATCATCTTTTTGTTCTCCTAGGCTCTCTCTCATCTTTCTGTTTTTCCACATCTTTCTGTTTATCTTACAACACTATACAAAGCATTCCAGAATCCATATGCGCTATTTGTCAAAGGGAGATATCACTACTTTAGTCCCTTTTTACTTAAAAAAGTATTGGGACACGTGAGAGTAATTTACCCTTATTTTCAACATTTAGATTTACTAAAAGGCAGCTAAAAGGCGAGAGCAGTGTTCCCTCTCTGCACTGCCTTGCAGAGGAGGAGGATGTTGTGAGAACAAGATGGGAAGAGCAGGACAGGGCTGCTGCCAATGCACAGACCTGCACAGGACCCACCCAAAGCACGTGGATGTTGCTGGCCAAGGGCTCTGATTACATCAAACCTTCCTGGATATCTGACATGACCTTGTTCTGGGTCACTCCTCCAAATATCTCTGATGTTACACATTGCAAGCCTCGACCTTCCTGAACCGTGGGCGATCCTGTAGTTTTCTCTGAAGCGTGAGAGCTCCTGTCAGGGAGGAGGTGGCAACAATGGGGTTAGTGTCACTCAGGAAAGGAAAAGGACTTTATATGTACAATCTGTTCCCACTGCCCTTGTGATTTCAGCTGAGGTGATGTGAAGGCCTGTGGAGAGAGGAAGAAGCAGGAATGACAAGAGTTGTCTCAGGAGAGCCCTGTTGAGCCCTTCTGATGCAACCTTGTGATAACCTGAGTCTGAGCAAGCAGCTGAAGCCTTTTGCCTCAGGCCACCTCAGGTCTCTTGTCTCCTAGTCTGGATTTCTTCATTCAGACTGGAAACGTTTGCTCAGCCTCACTTGGGAGAGATTCCCAGTGGGATTTGATTTAGGAGATAAAAATGCCCACATCCACCCCGGGAGAAAAGAGAAGATGGGCTTTAGATAAGATAACAAGATAGTTAAAAATATGAATAAAAAGGTTTTTTGCTGAACACTTAGAAGCTGAGATATTGAGAGGTCCTTAAAAGCATGAAGTAATTAATCCTCATTGACGTTAATGGGGTTTGGATGCCTAGGCACCATTGAAAATGCCAGCTAAGTAAACTGTTGTAAGCACAATGGCTAAGAATACAAATTTTTTCACTTCTGCAGATCCCACTGCAGTGGTTGTTTTATGTAAGTTCAAATTCCAAGAGAATGAGTTTTACTTTGAGTTTTATTAGCTTTCCTTGATGCCATAAAACTAATGTTATCATCCTGTTGTCATCTAAAACATTTTGAAGATCAGAGAAAGAAAATTAGAGCCCTAAATATTTGAAAAGCCTATAAAAACTATTTACTTTTTTCCTTTCTCCTCTGCTAGATCTACCCGGATGAAGGTCATAACATTGCTTCTGAAAAAAGCAAATATCACCTTTACAGCACAATCCTTGGGTTTTTTAGTGCTTGTTTAAAGGAGGAGACACCAATTTTACCACAGGAACCTGAAGAGGATGAATAAGGAAGCCTATTTGTGTAGTACTGAAGGGGACTTACTCTGCGGCTCAATAAACCCTTAAATAAAAGTGACTGTAAGATTGCAGATTCTGCAGAAGCTCAAGGGCAGCTAAAGGATATCACAGTGGAACAGCACATTTACAGACAATGAGCTAATAAACTGGAATTCGACTGCAAAGTCCAAACATATTACCAAGGGACAAAACCTTTACCTTTGTGGAAGGTCAACAGTTGGTTACAGTTTCCTGGAAGAACTTAGTTTTGCATAAGTGTAGGGTTAGTGCATGTTTGTTATGTTAAGCCTCACTGTTGGTTCTGTAAGTGGTTGCTCGTTTTTTAATTTAAATGCACATCTTTATTCATCTTTGCATAAGGCACAACCTATCATAAGTATTATGGCCACTAATATTCTAAAAGGTGAACTGCAATCTAACACTCTACTGTAATGTTACAATAAGTGCAATTCTTCTGCTGTCTATTACACGTAAGAAACCACAGAGATAATAAAGGGCACGATATTTTCTCTAGTTTCTGCTCAAGGGGATATTGTCTAGTGCATCATATAACATTGATATTGAAAATTATTTCCCCACACACAATTTCAGCATTTACAATTATTACTGTACCTACTAGTAACCAATAAGGGATTTTTTGGTGGTGTGCTCTTGGTCTTTATGTATATACCCAGGATTCCCTAAGCAGAAAATATTTCTGAGGTTGAAGAATTTCTTTCAAGATGTAATTGACAGCTGTATTTAAAACAATATCTGCAATTGAAATCATTCCCCAGTCCAAAATGTATCTATTGTTTCCTTAAAATATGTTTGAGTTGTGTTTTGGTATTGTTTATAGTAGTTAATAGTTTGCTGGTTACACTCTAATTTTAGAATATGCTACTTTGTCACATGTAAATTAGAAACATAAATATTAAATTATAGTTTCAGATAAAGAAAGTTTATTAACAATGTATAATGCCACTGAGTAATACTTTACTCCTCAAATGAAGACATATTTTGTATAGTGCATCTTCCTTTTCTTCCATCTGGTCTCAGATGTAATTCTGATGTGCATCAAGTCGGTGACGTAGCTGGAACACACCATTAGTTTTTATTCCAAGGCTGCTCATTAAGTCTCTTGCAACAGGATTTAGCTTCAACAGCAATCACAAAGAAATGAAATGTTTTTCATTCAAGGCAAAGGAAGAATCTGAGAAGTTAAATTTTATTATTGTTCAGCCCCTCATACACCTATTTATTTATTTGTCAGGGTGAATTACAGCAATAGAAATTGAAACTATGAAATAAACAAGGCAGCCAGTTTGGATTTGCAGATTAACTCTAATCATGAAAATCAAGTATGGTGTTGGCTTAATTTTAGATATCTTTCAAACGTATGTGAAAACTCTTGACAGATGCTGTGCCACTAACAATAGCTGTAGTTTTTTTTTATTTCTGAATATATTCCAAATACTTTCATACCCAATTAAGGTTTAATTTCTTGCAAGATTAAAAAGAAAGTAATTTTTTGAAGGTAAATATGCTGTTTAAGATGTAAAGTTTGCATATTTTATGAGAATGGGAATTGTTTTTAATGTAATCAAAAAGCACCTGGAGCTTTTTTACTCATCAATTCCTTTTGGAATATTTTCTTTCACAGTTAGGATTTTTTTATGATGCAAATAATTAATTTGTCTGAAAGGTGTGGTTTTATGGAACACTGGAAAGTCTCTGTCTTTTTAATGTTTAGTATTTATCTTGTTTTATTAGCAATGTTTAACTATTTTTCAATTAGTTTAATACAGTTTTAATGTGCAATGATATCTTGTTTGGGTCCCAATGTCACCACAAGGTATGGCTTTGCTTTGTGGCAATTATAGTACATATGGATTACATATCTATGGTATAGGTACAGTATATATTTATGGAGGCTACTGTGTGCACTACAGTAAGATCATACAATACAACAGAAAACAACAAAAAAAAGTAAGAGCAGAATTCAGACAAGGTTTTGCAAATCCTGTTTCCTATAGAGAGCAACGTTTTCAGGTCTTCTGTTGTCTGGGACTGCTAGTTTGTGATTTTATAAGTTACACCCATCACTTAATAAATGCTCACCTGACAATACTGATGCTTTTCCTAAACACAGTAAACAAGGTCCTAATCCAGTTGAATTCAGTGAGATGTTTTCCCTGATTGGAGCCAAATGGTCGTGAAGGAAGCACAAGCTGTGTGCACGTGTTGAGGTTGCTGCACGGACTGGGCGTGCGGAGGATACGTGAAAAGGCTGATTCCCACAATATGTGCTGTCTGTTCTCCTGGGACACAGCCACTCTGTGCTCATTGTTTTCTGTGCTTCACACTGAGCTGCATTTGGCTACCTGCAAAAGAAAACAAACAAGGCTTGTGTCTCAGCAATAGGATTGTGCATGTGCTCAGGAAATACGTTATCCCAGCTCTGTGGATCCACACCGTGTCTCCTCCTTTTCCCATAGCTCTGTTTCAGGCCCCCATTCCCTACTCTTTCTACCTCAGCATCTCACCTCCAATTTACCTGAATTTGAACGTGTCATGAGGACACGGCCTTCTGTAAGAATGCCCTTGGCAGAACTGGTATGTTTAAAAAGTGTGTTATCGGAAATGTGGGTTATCTGCGTGGAAATGTGGTATACTTTTAATGTTTTTATTATTTCTTACATCCTAGAAATACAGGTATTTTTATATAAATGTGTATACAAGGGTGAACATCAGGCACAGATTAATTGCTTTTAGTGACATTTTTATGCATGTATTGAATTCAGATATTGCAAAAGTGTTTGCAGGTGCAGGCTCAGATTATAGTTAGACTAAAGAATTTGGTGTAAGGCATCCCTTTACTTTTGCTAATAATTCTTCCACTTACAGCGCAACTGAATAGTGTTATACATCAGATGCTATATACGTAACTAATGGCGATCATTAATTAGCCCATGTGATCTACAGTATTGATCAAAAATTAGTACACATTGCACCAAAATAGCATGAAAAGCATAGACTTTTTGTAGCTTATCATTTGTTAAGCACCATGATGACATTTTAAGTCTGAAAAATTACTATTTGATTCACCTGTCCTTAAAATATGACACTTACACTAGACTAGACTTATTAATTTATGGAAAGCTAGGGAATCAGCATATCCATTTACTGCTTACTAGAGCATATCTTTACCTTCTTGATTTCTTCTCTCCTTTTTCTGCTATTACAACTTGCAAAATCTATGAAACCTGTAGGTCATACTGAGATTTCAACTATATTACAAAATCAGGAGTAACTGCATGGCTACTGGAATATTTTCCCCAGATTGTGGAGTACAAGGAAAGGCTGATTATTTTTTAAATTAATTTATTTAATCTTTTTGCAGCAAGGACAGAATTATTTATTACCTGATCAACGTCTGCTATGATTTGTTATTACCAACTGTTCACTGTTCCTCAGTTTTTGGCATACGGTAGATTTCCCTGTGTCTGAAAATGAAGATGATTGCCTCTGTTCTCTCAGCTCTGGCACTCAGAGTATGGAGTTAGTTAGCTTCATTTAGCTGAGGAATTGTGCCTTTTAAGACAGAAGAGCTTGTATTTGATCTGAAGCCAAAGATTCTCCGTGGAAACTTGGAATGTTGAGTGTTGGCTCCTTTAATAAAATGCAGAGGATACAAGGTGTGACCTGGTATCCCTCCTTGCAGGTTTATTAGACACTGCTGAAGAAACTGAAGCAAGAGCAAGACTGACCCAAAGATACTGAGCACCACTTCCTTTTGCACAGTCTAGAAGCACACAGGCAAGGTGCAGCGGTCCAGGCATTTTGTATTTACTTCAGATAACTCCTCCTGGCAAGTCAGTTGCCTCCAGGAAAGAAGAACCTCTCCGGCATTGATTACTGGTGCATCTTCTGCAAAACGTCTTTCTGTGCCATTAAGATTGCTTGTCTTTATCCTCTTAATGAATTCAAGAGTGCTTCAGAGAATGAGGAGCTCATGGGATGTGGCTAAGGGGAGTCACAACTTCCAAGGTGCCTGGAGCTTTGAAAAGAAAAGAAAGGATTTAGTTAAACTTCTGTCTGTTGAATTTCATACATGAAAGTCGAGAAGGAGCCTGGCATCGAGGAGGTGATTCACATCGAGTGTTAGTGATTCACTCACCAGGCAGGTAAAATAACATATGTCTTATAAAATAAGTCCTTGTCTTCCAATGTCTGGAAATTACAGTGTTGTTAGATAAAGTTGATCAGGCATTTAGATGGAATTAAGGAAATTAAACCACCTGAGTATATGCAGTCCCAAGTTTCCATTAAAGGGGACCAGACTTCTTTCCTATATAATTAGTTTAGAAATCCAATATCCTACTTTTACGTAAGTAGAACTTGAAAACAGCAAAATTGATTTAATAGTGCCTATACCCCATGAGAACACAAATGATATAGATACAATTCTTTTTAATTAAAATACTCCATAAAGTGCCAACAGTCCTTTTTTAGATTTCGTAAACGAAGAAAAAAGTAAAGGGAAAAAAAAAAAAAAACTCCTGATTGATAAAACCAACAGAGGGAATATAATTGGTAGGGAGGGAGATGCTCAGGAAATAATTCCCTAAGGAAAATCATGTTTTCTACTGTAGCATATTTTTGTGTCATAAATGAGCTGAGGGTTCATCTGTCAGAGATGCTTCTAAGGGAATGTAGATGCTGACACACAGGTGGTGTCCAGAGGCTCAGGTGGGGAGCAAGTACCTGCACAGGCAGGTGTTCCATCCTGCACACAGTGCAGAACCTTCACAGCTCCATGAAGGGGAGTTATAGTCTGATATTTTAGTCCATCAAGCAACGCAATTGATAGGCTGAGGCATGAAACTGTTACCTCGGGAATAAGAATATTGTTTAAAAATGACTAAGCAATATGGTCATCTTGCTGTTCTCCAGTTTGTCAGAGGTGAGGATGGGGAGCTTGGCCAGGGCACGCCGTGACCCACTCCACACATCCAGCTGAGAGACCAGCTGGCAGCAATTACAGCTCTGGTGGTGTCTGTAAATGCTCTGACATTGCTGTGAAAGAAAAAAAAGAAGAGGGCATATAATGCATGGACAGAATATCTTGCCTCTGGTAGTTTTTCAGAAGAGCTGCTTTAGTAAAATGGGCTGATGCTTCCAAAATCCTAATGAAGAACAAAGCATTCCTGAAGAACTGTCTTGGTTTGTTCCACCTCTCAGCGTTTTCCTGGAACATAAATTTGACAAATCAAATAATGTGTAGAATCCATTCTTAGGGAGGTTTTCAGCACCATTAGGAGAGTGGTAAGAAAGAAGAGTGTTCTGAGGAGACAAGCAAAGAGGCATTTTGTTGCTCTATTCAGAGCTGTTGCTCTATTTTAAAGTGGTGCAGTGGTAACCTTAGAGACAAATGGAGCCAATGCTTCATTCAGTAAACTTTCAACTAAGGCAGGAGAGCCAGATCATTCAGTTATTTGCACAAAAGAATAATTAATTACATGGTTTCTTATGGATTTTTAGTCCTGTGTTTGATTTGCATCCTACATTTCAGACAGTCATTATAAGGTAGAAATTGTTAAATATAATTCCACATTTGAAATAAGCAGTTACAGTAAAACATTTCATTTTCCAAAACAGTGAAAATTGTTGCATTTAAAGGTATTTACACTGTCAAGTTAACTGTTCTTCCTTTTGGGTTGTAGTGGACACTGAATTTGTTGGACTGATGGGTTTTTAAATTGAAGTGGAAATTGTACTGATTTTGGACAGAGGGGCTTATCTATTTTTGTAGGAATTGCTTGTGGAAATACAGTGAATCTGAATACCCATGAAATATTTGAAGGAGGTTTTATAGAACATCATATGAAAAGTATAAAATATCATATGAAAAAACCTAGGAAGCTGAGGACCACAAAGGAAAAGTACAGTCATTTGGCAGTGTAATCAGAATTAAGCAAGGCAAAAGAAAAGGCAGTGTGGAAAACTGATTTAGGCAGGACTTTCAGG